ACAGTTTCTACTTTCCTACACCTCATCATCTCTGACATCTACTCTCTGAACTTCGCACTGGTAGAAGGTGCCTGAATATCATCCCCATCGTAGTCTTTGACCTCTACAATATGTAGCAAGGTCCTCTCATCGGGCCATATGGATAGTGACATCAATCCTTTTGAACACTGTCCAGAAATCTGAAAATTTAACTAGAACGAGTCAGTATCCTCTAAACAACATGCAAGAGAGAGACAGCAGCGAGTTGAGGGTACGCCTGTGTCCAACGAGCTCCGAACATCGATAGAGCAGTAGCTGTGTGACGCCAGTTTAATAGACGCAATATGCGGACGTCGGAGAAGACAGCCTGGACTAAAATCGACATAAACCATGATGACTGCTTGAAGTTATGTTTTCACTGGCATACCTATATTTCGTCTGTAACCAAACAAACAAACAAACAACCTTATTCATTAGCGATAAAAATGTGGTCTTACTACTCAGACCTAAGTAAAAACCTACAAAAATTATTTCAAATCGAGATTCGAACCCACTTGTGTTGCCTTTACACCTAGATATACTGACTCTGTCTATGTCTTGAACGAGTTACATCACCTAGCCGACGTCATTCGTCACTCTCGCCACTTACCCTAATTGCCAAAGAGACTCGTATGTATGTATGGATAGATTATCTTTATTTCCTCCAAAAATATGAAGATTGTTTCATGTTACAACAAAGTGTCAAATTAATTATACAATGACTCAGTAAACAGTTAATTGTGCAGATATTTTAGAGTGACAGACTGACATAAAATCAGCCACTAATAACATAACTTCCGCCCATTCTGTCATATTTAAGTTACCAAGTGTTGTACAAGATCCACCAAGTAAATCAGCAATTATTACATCGTCATCATTTTCCCAAAAGTCAACAAAATCAGATATTGATATAATATCACAAATCCTTTCAAACATTTCATTTCTCAAATCATTAAGATGTGTACAGGACATAATAACATGTTTAACAATATCAGAAGCTACTATTCCACATATACACTCTCTGGATTCAATCTTTTTACAACCAATGTGAATAATATGAGAGAGTTTGTAAAATTTAGGCTTTTTAATCAAGGCTAGTTCCCACAGTCTGCTTGGATTAAAAGGTATGTATGTATGTATGTATGTATGTATGTATGTATGTATGTATGTATGTATGTATGTATGTATGTATGTATGTATGTATGTATGTATGTATGTATGTATGTATGTATGTGTATGTATGTGTGTGTGTGTGTGTGTGTGTGTGTGTGTGTGTATGTATGTATGTATGTATGTATGTATGTATGTATGTTTGTATGTATGTATGTATGTATGTACAACCAGAAATTATTGAGAATTTAAAGATTGTAATTTTTTATATTTTTTTCACTCATTACTCACGTATTAAATGTGAATATTAGCAGAACATAACTCCAGATTCAAAGACAGGTGAACAGTTAGTATTTTGTCAAGTCACCATGGGCAGCAATGCAGGCTTCAATGCGGCGGGGCATACTACTGATCAAAGAAGTTAGAAAGTCGTGGTCCATGCTCTCCCAATATCGGACCACCTCTTCTTTCATTTCAGCAATATTTGTCAGGTTTTTCTTATTGACGCTTTCCTTCATAAGTCCCCAAACATTTTCTATTGAATTTAGGTCAGGGCTATAGCTTGGCCAATCTAATAATGTCATATTTTGGGTCCGAAACCAGGCCTGTGAATGCTTTGAACGATGTTTTGGGTCGTTGTCCTGCTGGAAAATCCAAACATTTCGAACGAACACGTGAGCAGATGGAACTAAATGTCCCTCGAGAATACCTGTGTACCGCTCACTGTTCATATTACCTTCAAATACACAGAGGGGCGTTGCCCCTAACACAGATATGCCATCCCACACGTTACATTTCGGACTGTACTTTGGGCGCTGATACAAAGGTTTATCAGTTTGTTTGGTCCAGAATTTCAGTGTATTAGGAAACAGCCACAGAGAACTTTCATCTGAGAAAATCACATTGTCCCAGTTAAAATTTCTATGCTGTAAGCACCAGTTCAACCTTCGCTCCTTTTGTTCAGGTTTCATGATCGGTGATGGAATTCCTCGACTTTTCTGCCAACCCATTGCATACAGCTCAGTTCTAATTGTCTCCTTACAGACAGCCACAGTTCCTCTATCAATCATATACAGTATGTATGTATGTATGTATGTATGTATGTATGTATGTATGTATGTATGTATGTATGTATGTATGTATGTATGTATGTATGTATGTATGTATGTATGTATGTATGTATGTATGTATGTATGTATGTATGTATGTATGTATGTATGTATGTATGTATGTATGTATGTATGTATGTGTGTGTGTGTGATATGTGTGTGTGTATGTATGATATGTATGTGTGTATCTCTGTGTGGCTGTGGATTGTTTACAGGGTCAAGACAAGCTGACATAGTGTAATGCTCAGTGTAATAGCTCACGGTCGTATTAATCAATATAAACTGTTCGCTTATACATAGGTGCTATGTGGCATTTTTCAGGTGTAAGACAAGGAGACATATTAATAGCTCACGGTGATATAAATCAATACATACTGTGGGGCCGTCTTCACAGTGTTCTGGTGTATACTGTAACTATAGTCCGTTTGGCTCAAACTGGGACCGATGAATTGCAATTTAACTCGAAAACTACTAAACATATTATACTCGATGAAACACTGATCATAATCAAAACATCAGACCAACTCCGTGACTCTTTTGCAGGATTTATGTCCTAAAAATACAAAAGTTGTTTAACAAACTCTCATTAAATTTTTTGACACAGTTCACTATTTGTTACGAGGGAGGGATGCAAAGAGAGGAATAGCCAGGTGTGCGAGAAAGGATGGAGACAGCACAGCACAGGTAAATGATTAACATTGTCGGCACTTGTGCACGTGCTCCGCGTACACCTGGCTGTTCCTCTCTTTGCAGCCCTCCCTCGTAACAAATAGTGAACTGTGTCAAAATTTTAATGATAGTTTGTGAAAGAACTTTTTTATTTTTAAGACATAAATTCTGCAAAGAAATCGCAGAGTTGGTCTGATGTTTTGATTATGATCAGTGTTTCGTTGAGTATTATATATTTAGTAGTTTTCGAGTTGAGCCAAACGGACTATAGTAGTAGTAATGCTGAATACCCTGTCCATTTACTCTTGTCAGGGGGTACGTTATCTAGGCTACCAGTTGTTCGACTTCAATGTTGTGTGAAAGGGCGTTGGCTGAGTAGGTTAGATCGCTGACTTTGCGTGCTGGCGATTAGGTGCCTGACTCTGAGAGTGTGAGTTCAATTCCCGGAGGGGCCCTAATCCAAAAAATGTACTGCAATCTGCAGTGTACAGAGAAAGCGTAATCCCAAATATGAAGTTAGTCAATAAACAGAAGTCTATTTTGCAAACATATATAGAAATATAAGAGTGAGTGTGTGTGGTTTTACGCGGCTTTTTGCGATATTACAGCAACATCACGGCGGTGGACACCAGCAATTCGCGTCACACATTGTACCCATGTGGGGAATCGAACCAGGCTCTTCAGCGTGACGAACGGATGCTTTAACCACAAGGCTACCCCACCGCCCCAGAAACATAAGAAGAACAATGATAAGGTAAAAACAAGGTGAAAATCTCGTGAGGATGAAATGAGTCAGCTGTGTTTTACCCCACTTTGATATCAGTATTTCAGTTGTATCATGGCGTGTCAGCACAATGTTAGAACACAGCTCTCAGAGATATCTGTGTGACCCAGTATAGAATATAGGCATGGCCTAACAAAGCAAGAAACCTTATCAGGACGAACCTCCGAACCAACCATCAAAAAGGGAGACAACTCTAGTGAGGACGCGTATGATACACTTATGATTGCCAGAATGCGTCATATATCAATTTTAGACTACGTATAGCTCATTTCCCACCACTTTTGGTTTCGATTTCTAAGAAGCCCTTTTCTTATCTGTGTACTATTTTAAGTGATTCACTTCGTAGTTTTCATTATTTATGCACATAGTCAAGCTCAGAAAGGTAAGTGTGAACGCTACAAATGTAGAAACTTGTAGTACTGTCAAATATCGTTGTGTCGAATTTTGATGTGTCGAAGTAGAAGCTCGGTTCCTGCGTATTCTTTGTTTGTCATTATTTTGTTGGGGCGGTGGGGTAGCCTAGTAGCTTACGCGTTCGCTTGTCTCGCCGAAGGTCCGGGTTCGATTCCCCGCATGGGTACAATGTGTGAAGCCCATTTCTAGCGTCCCTCGCCCTGAAATTGCTGGAATATTGCTAAATACGGCGTTAAACTACACTCACTCATCAGTTTGTTTTTCTGTTGAACCTCAGTCTAACCACCAAGATATGTTACAGTATATGTGAATGTATGTGTGTGTGTGTGTGTGAGAGAGAGAGAGAGAGAGAGAGAGAGAGAGAGAGAGAGAGAGAGAGAGAGAGAGAGAGAGAGAGAGAGAGAGAGAGAGACTGATGATTTAATATTTGATGTTTAAATAGCTTCAGTACGACAAATACTGTGTACGCAACACTTGAGACTATTTAAATCCTTGATTCACACTATTCGCGAATCTGAGGCTATGGTAGCATAATGCCATTAAGTTAGTGGTCAAATGGTCAAATGTCACATATGTTAAATTTGCGATTTACCTTTCTCATTAGAGAACTTTTAAAGACCTTTTTAGACTCTAGAACTTTTGTAAGGTTGTCTGGGATGAGACTCAATCAGAATCTGTACTTTACTGAGAAAGTGTAATTCGATATGTAACATATCCTAGGCTACATTTAGTAAATCATTTCTTAGTAATATGGATCTGCACGAGTTCCGGTAAACCATATAGTCTACCACAAGATAAATACACAAAAAATATTATTCTGCTATGTGTTTTGAATGACGATTCGAACCCTACATGAAATATTACAAAAATGTCGAAGGGAATTCCGTGGGTAAAATAGAGATTTATCTCCCTTGTTTAATGGCGAGATTTTCTGTGTCACTTGTGGTGGTGTTGACTAAGCTTCAGTTATCAGAACAACTACGGACTTTGAGACTCGGTTAGTTACCCAACGAAGGTCACACATCCGTCGGTGAGTAGCCCCTGTCAAGCAATATTTCATATACATGTGAAACATTTCTCCAAACAAAGCTTATCCAGTAATGGTAGTATCCATTTTCGTTATATCTTGTGCTTTTCGTGTAAATATCTATACGATATTTGATGCATGCGATCAAGCCACAATATCTTATAGTAATATACTAAATTAATTACAGCTTTCAAATCTGTTCAATGTCGTTAATTACGTCATGGACAAAAACAGTATGTGCTGGCGGTATATCGCGAACTTGCTCAGGGACTCCCCCTCGGGTTTTCCCCAAGCTATAAATAGTTCAAGTTCTGAGAAAACCCAGCGGGTCCAGCCATATCGATGACAGGCTTTTGATTAGAAACCTTGGGTGGTGTATGCTCATTGTGTTGTGTGTACATTACAATCATGGAATGGCTATATCTATAAATTTGACGGCTACTCGTCTGCTGATAACAGGTAGGTACTAAATTATATACGTGTATATACATATATTTGGTAACCTGTCCTTCTTAAATAGGACAGCATTTTTATTTTATGTGTTTCTCATATATCAACCGACCCTTCTAATTTTATTGCCGACTCCCGCAAAAACACCGCCGACTCGAACCTAAAACGCACCGCCTCGTCATATAAAATGTTTATCTTATAATCAGTCGCTGCCGCAAGTCCAAAGTACGCGAGAAATTGTAATAAGAAGTAGAATAAATGAGAATCAAGAACATTATTCAGATAATTTTCTGATAGACATGTTTAGGCAGTTCATTAACCCACCCCTTTCTGATAGACATGTTTAGGCAGTTCATTAACCACCCCCATTCTGATAGACATGTTTAGGCAGTTCATTAACCCACCCCTTTCTGATAGACATGTTTAGGCAGTTCATTAACCCACCCCTTTCTGATAGACATGTTTAGGCAGTTCATTAACCCACCCCTTTCTGATAGACATGTTAAGGCAGCTCATTAACCCACCCCTTTCTGATAGACATGTTTAGGCAGTTCATTAACCCACCCCTTTCTGATAGACATGTTAAGGCACCTCATTAACCCACCCCTTTCTGATAGACTTGTTAAGGCAGAACTGAGGCAGATATATATACATGAACTTACTTTTCAAGCATTTTTTAAAATGCCGGATGCTACCGTTAGGACAGTTACCGTTTTTGTGAACACCTTACAAGTATCATCACTAATTATTAGTCAAGCACGACGTTAAACCCAATTTTACCTCGCCTCACTAAGTTTTAGTGATCTATTCATATAATTTTAAGAGCTCCTTTCCCCAACACAGCAAAATTAATTATATTTGTTTCTTAGGATGTGAGGATCGCATATTCCTTTGCACATACGTTGTATATTAAACTACATGGCATCAGTAATGTACGAAACTCTACCCTACCACATCCGTATATCCTTAGTTCCATTAATGCCACTCACAATGCTACATTTCAGCTACCCTACCCTACCCTACCACATCCGTATATCCCTAGTTACATTAATGCCACTCACAATGCTACATTTCAGCTACCCTACCCTACCACATCCGTATATCCCTAGTTACATTAATGCCACTCACAATGCTACATTTCAGCTACCCTACCCTACCACATCCGTATATCCCTAGTTACATTAATGCAACTCACAATGCTACATTTCAGCTACCCTACCCTACCCTACCACATCCGTATATCCCTAGTTACATTAATGCAACTCACAATGCTACATTTCAGCTACCCTACCCTACCACATCCGTATATCCCTAGTTACATTAATGCAACTCACAATGCTACATTTCAGCTACCCTACCCTACCCTACCCTACCACATCCGTATATCCCTAGTTACATTAATGCCACTCACAATGCTACATTTCAGCTACCCTACCCTACCCTACCATCCGTATATCCCTAGTTACATTAATGCAACTCACAATGCTACATTTCAGCTATCCTACCCTACCCTACCACATCCGTATATCCCTAGTTACATTAATGCAACTCACAATGCTACATTTCAGCTACCCTACCCTACCCTACCACATCCGTATATCCCTAGTTACATTAATGCAACTAACAATGCTACATTTCAGCTACCCTACCCTACCCTACCACATCCGTATATCCCTAGTTACATTAATGCAACTCACAATGCTACATTTCAGCTACCCTACCCTACCACATCCGTATATCCCTAGTTACATTAATGCAACTAACAATGCTACATTTCAGCTATCCTACCCTACCCTACCACATCCGTATATCCCTAGTTACATTAATGCAACTCACAATGCTACATTTCAGCTACTCCTACCCTACCCTACCACATCCGTATATCCCTAGTTACATTAATGCAACTAACAATGCTACATTTCAGCTACCCTACCTAACCTAACTCCTACCACATCCGTATATCCCTAGTTACATTAATGCAACTCACAATGCTACATTTCAGCTACCCTACCCTACTACTCCTACCACATCCGTATATCCCTAGTTACATTAATGCAACTCACAATGCTACATTTCAGCTACCCTACCCCTACCCTACCACATCCGTATATCCCTAGTTACATTAATGCAACTCACAATGCTACATTTCAGCTACCCTACTACTACCCTACCACATCCGTATATCCCTAGTTACATTAATGCAACTCACAATGCTACATTTCAGCTACCCAACCCTACTACCCTACCACATCCGTATATCCCTAGTTACATTAATGCCACTCACAATGCTACATTTCAGCTACCCTACCCTACCACATCCGTATATCCCTAGTTACATTAATGCAACTCACAATGCTACATTTCAGCTACCCTACTCCCCTACTACTACCACATCCGTATATCCCTAGTTACATTAATGCAACTCACAATGCTACATTTCAGCTACCCTACTACTCCTACCCTACCACATCCGTATATCCTTTAGTTACATTAATGCCACTCACAATGCTACATTTCAGCTACTACCTACCCTACCACATCCGTATATCCCTAGTTACATTAATGCAACTAACAATGCTACATTTCAGCTACCCTACCCTACCCTACTACATCCGTATATCCCTAGTTACATTAATGCAACTAACAATGCTACATTTCAGCTACTACCCTACCCTACCACATCCGTATATCCCTAGTTACATTAATGCAACTCACAATGCTACATTTCAGCTACCCTACTCCTACCCTACCACATCCGTATATCCCTAGTTACATTAATGCCACTCACAATGCTACATTTCAGCTACCCTACCCTACCACATCCGTATATCCCTAGTTACATTAATGCAACTCACAATGCTACATTTCAGCTACCTACCCTACCCTACCACATCCGTATATCCCTAGTTACATTAATGCAACTCACAATGCTACATTTCAGCTACCCTACCCTACCACATCCGTATATCCCTAGTTACATTAATGCAACTCACAATGCTACATTTCAGCTACCCTACCCTACCCTACCACATCCGTATATCCCTAGTTACATTAATGCAACTCACAATGCTACATTTCAGCTACCCTACCCTACCCTACCACATCCGTATATCCCTAGTTACATTAATGCAACTCACAATGCTACATTTCAGCTACCCTACCCTACCCTACCACATCCGTATATCCCTAGTTACATTAATGCCACTCACAATGCTACATTTCAGCTACCCTACCCTACCCTACCACATCCGTATATCCCTAGTTACATTAATGCAACTCACAATGCTACATTTCAGCTATCCTACTCCTACCCTACACATCCGTATATCCCTAGTTACATTAATGCCACTCACAATGCTACATTTCAGCTACCCTACCCTACTCCTACCACATCCGTATATCCCTAGTTACATTAATGCAACTCACAATGCTACATTTCAGCTATCCTCTACTCCTACCACATCCGTATATCCCTAGTTACATTAATGCAACTCACAATGCTACATTTCAGCTACCCTACCCTACCCTACCACATCCGTATATCCCTAGTTACATTAATGCAACTCACAATGCTACATTTCAGCTCCCTACCCCTACCACATCCGTATATCCCTAGTTACATTAATGCCACCTAACAATGCTACATTTCAGCTAGCTACCCTACCCTACCACATCCGTATATCCCTAGTTACATTAATGCAACTCACAATGCTACATTTCAGCTACCCTACCCCTACCCTACCACATCCGTATATCCCTAGTTACATTAATGCTACTCTACAATGCTACATTTCAGCTACCCTACCCTACCCTACCACATCCGTATATCCCTAGTTACATTAATGCAACTCACAATGCTACATTTCAGCTTAATGCACCCTACAATGCTACTACTCCTACCACATCCGTATATCCCTAGTTACATTAATGCCACTCACAATGCTACATTTCAGCTACCCTACCCTACCACATCCGTATATCCCTAGTTACATTAATGCAACTCACAATGCTACATTTCAGCTACCCTACTCCTACCCTACCACATCCGTATATCCCTAGTTACATTAATGCCACTCACAATGCTACATTTCAGCTACCCTACCCTACCACATCCGTATATCCCTAGTTACATTAATGCAACTAACAATGCTACATTTCAGCTACCTACCCTACCCTACCACATCCGTATATCCCTAGTTACATTAATGCCACTCACAATGCTACATTTCAGCTACTCTACCCTACCACATCCGTATATCCCTAGTTACATTAATGCAACTCACAATGCTACATTTCAGCTACCCTACCCTACCCTACCACATCCGTATATCCCTAGTTACATTAATGCAACTCACAATGCTACATTTCAGCTACCCTACCCTACCACATCCGTATATCCCTAGTTACATTAATGCAACTCACAATGCTACATTTCAGCTACCCTACCCTACCCTACCACATCCGTATATCCCTAGTTACATTAATGCAACTCACAATGCTACATTTCAGCTACCCTACCCTACCACATCCGTATATCCCTAGTTACATTAATGCAACTCACAATGCTACATTTCAGCTACCCTACCCTCCTACCCTACCACATCCGTATATCCCTAGTTACATTAATGCAACTCACAATGCTACATTTCAGCTACTCCTACCCTACCCTACCACATCCGTATATCCCTAGTTACATTAATGCAACTCACAATGCTACATTTCAGCTACCCTACCCTACCACATCCGTATATCCCTAGTTACATTAATGCAACTCACAATGCTACATTTCAGCTACTCCTACCCTACCACATCCGTATATCCCTAGTTACATTAATGCATGCTACACATCCGTATATCCCTTTATATCCCTAGTACTCAGCTACATCCGTATATCCTACTCCTAATGCTACATTTCAGCTACCCTACCCTACCCTACTCCTACCACATCCGTATATCCCTAGTTACATTAATGCCACTCACAATGCTACATTTCAGCTACTCTGCTACCCTACCACATCCGTATATCCCTAGTTACATTAATGCAACTCACAATGCTACATTTCAGCTACCCTACCCTACCCTACCACATCCGTATATCCCTAGTTACATTAATGCCACTCACAATGCTACATTTCAGCTACCCTACCCTACCACATCCGTATATCCCTAGTTACATTAATGCAACTCACACTCACAATGCTACATTTCAGCTACCCTACCCTACCACATCCGTATATCCCTAGTTACATTAATGCAACTCACAATGCTACATTTCAGCTACCCTACTCCTACCCCTACCACATCCGTATATCCCTAGTTACATTAATGCAACTCACAATGCTACATTTCAGCTACCCTACCCTACCCTACCACATCCGTATATCCCTAGTTACATTAATGCCACTCACAATGCTACATTTCAGCTACCCTACCCTACCACATCCGTATATCCCTAGTTACATTAATGCAACTCACAATGCTACATTTCAGCTACCCTACCCTACCCTACCACATCCGTATATCCCTAGTTACATTAATGCAACTCACAATGCTACATTTCAGCTACCCTACCCTACCCTACCACATCCGTATATCCCTAGTTACATTAATGCCACTCACAATGCTACATTTCAGCTACCCTACCCTACCCTACCACATCCGTATATCCCTAGTTACATTAATGCAACTCACAATGCTACATTTCAGCTAACCTACTCCTACCCTACCCTACCACATCCGTATATCCCTAGTTACATTAATGCCACTCACAATGCTACATTTCAGCTACCCTACCCTACCACATCCGTATATCCCTAGTTACATTAATGCAACTCACAATGCTACATTTCAGCTACCCTACTCTACCCTACCACATCCGTATATCCCTAGTTACATTAATGCAACTCACAATGCTACATTTCAGCTACCCTACCCTACTCCTACCACATCCGTATATCCCTAGTTACATTAATGCAACTCACAATGCTACATTTCAGCTACCCTACTCCTACCCTACCACATCCGTATATCCCTAGTTACATTAATGCAACTCACAATGCTACATTTCAGCTACCCTACCCTACCACATCCGTATATCCCTAGTTACATTAATGCAACTCACAATGCTACATTTCAGCTACCCTACCCTACCCTACCACATCCGTATATCCCTAGTTACATTAATGCAACTCACAATGCTACATTTCAGCTACTCCTACCCTACCCTACCACATCCGTATATCCCTAGTTACATTAATGCAACTCACAATGCTACATTTCAGCTACCCTACCCTACCCTACCACATCCGTATATCCCTAGTTACATTAATGCAACTCACAATGCTACATTTCAGCTACCCTACCCTACCACATCCGTATATCCCTAGTTACATTAATGCAACTCACAATGCTACATTTCAGCTACCCTACCCTACCCTACCACATCCGTATATCCCTAGTTACATTAATGCCACTCACAATGCTACATTTCAGCTACCCTACCCTACCACATCCGTATATCCCTAGTTACATTAATGCAACTCACAATGCTACATTTCAGCTACTACCCTACCCTACCACATCCGTATATCCCTAGTTACATTAATGCCACTCACAATGCTACATTTCAGCTACCCTACCCTACCCTACCACATCCGTATATCCCTAGTTACATTAATGCAACTCACAATGCTACATTTCAGCTACTCCTACCCTACCACATCCGTATATCCCTAGTTACATTAATGCCACTCACAATGCTACATTTCAGCTACCCTACCCTACCACATCCGTATATCCCTAGTTACATTAATGCAACTCACAATGCTACATTTCAGCTACCCCCTACCCTACCACATCCGTATATCCCTAGTTACATTAATGCCACTCACAATGCTACATTTCAGCTACCTACCCTACCCTACCACATCCGTATATCCCTAGTTACATTAATGCAACTCACAATGCTACATTTCAGCTACCCTACCCTACCCTACCACATCCGTATATCCCTAGTTACATTAATGCCACTCACAATGCTACATTTCAGCTACCCTACCCTACCACCACATCCGTATATCCCTAGTTACATTAATGCAACTCACAATGCTACATTTCAGCTACCCTACCCTACCCTACACATCCGTATATCCCTAGTTACATTAATGCAACTAACAATGCTACATTTCAGCTACCCCTACCTCTACCCTACCACATCCGTATATCCCTAGTTACATTAATGCAACTCACAATGCTACATTTCAGCTACCCTACCCTACCCTACCACATCCGTATATCCCTAGTTACATTAATGCCACTCACAATGCTACATTTCAGCTACCCTACCCTACCCTACCACATCCGTATATCCCTAGTTACATTAATGCAACTCACAATGCTACATTTCAGCTACCCTACCCTACCCTACCACATCCGTATATCCCTAGTTACATTAATGCAACTCACAATGCTACATTTCAGCTACCCTACCCTACCACATCCGTATATCCCTAGTTACATTAATGCAACTCACAATGCTACATTTCAGCTACCCTACCCTACCACATCCGTATATCCCTAGTTACATTAATGCAACTCACAATGCTACATTTCAGCTACCCTACCCTACCACATCCGTATATCCCTAGTTACATTAATGCAACTCACAATGCTACATTTCAGCTACCCCTACCCTACCACATCCGTATATCCCTAGTTACATTAATGCAACTCACAATGCTACATTTCAGCTACCCTACCCTACCACATCCGTATATCCCTAGTTACATTAATGCAACTCACAATGCTTCACATTTCAGCTACCCTAGTTACATTAATGCAACTCACAATGCTACATTTCAGCTACCTACCCTACCACATCCGTATATCCCTAGTTACATTAATGCAACTCACAATGCTACATTTCAGCTACCCTACCCTACCACATCCGTATATCCCTAGTTACATTAATGCAACTCACAATGCTACATTTCAGCTACCCTACACTACCCTACCACATCCGTATATCCCTAGTTACATTAATGCAACTCACAATGCTACATTTCATCTAGCCATGAGTGAGACAGTGCTCTAGCCGTTTTTCTGCTGCTACATTTCATCTAGCCATGAGTGAGACAGTGCTCTAGCCGTTTTTCTGCTGCTACATTTCATCTAGCCATTAGTGAGACAGTGCTCTAGGTCGTTTTCTTATGCTACATTTCATCTAGCCATTAGTGAGACAATCTTCTAGCTGTTTTTCTTATGCTACATTTCAGCTAGCCATGAGTGAGACAGTCTTCTATCAGCCTGGAATGTCCTTGGGTAGAACCTTTGATCTCCGGACCTACGGGAACGGTTTGGACATTTTCCCAGAAGACTTGGTTGACAATCCCAAAATCATAGAAAGCCATTACAATACCGTCAAGTACAGAGTCATAAAGAACAGTCAGGACATCAACAATATATTGGAGCTTTCTGGAGAAGTGGCTCTCAAGATTAAAGCTGGTATCTTGAACGTAGAGGGGATGGCGTCATATGTAAAGGAGGATAAAATCAAAGACGAATGCACAGAAATATTCGTGAGAGTACACGTTGAAACTGTAAGTTTGTGTAAGAAAATGAAGTTTCGTGCATTAGTGGAGGTTTACAGGAGGCGTGTATATGGCTTGAATACAATTACGAGCAGTACGTCACGGCGTCTAAGGCATGTTGAAATAATAGTTCCTAAAACCGTGTACATGTGTCTCTTTCAAACCATGAACACGAGTAAATCAAAATTCATATATTGTCAAATCATGGGTAATGATCATAATATTATTGGTTTATAACCACGAATACCTGTGACTTGACATAGCTGTAAGGCACCTAACTCAACCTATGGCACCCATGAACAACTAGGACACATGCGCGCCATTGTTTATCCATTGCACAAAGCTACGATGACCGTAACCCTATGTAAGCCTATGTATGGGTGTCACAATCACCTAAGATAGCTTCGTGCAAGTGGACCAAGTTAGAATACTTGACGCCTTTCAACGAGGCCATTACTTTTCAGACCCGTGAAGATCCGGGTTAGACTTGATCTTCAGCAACCTTTTCTTGTCGTAAGAGGCGACTAACTCGATCGGGTGATCAGGTTCGCTGACTTGGTTGACACATGTCATCGTATCCCAATTGCTCAGATCGATGCTTATGCTGTTGATCACTATATTGTCTGGTCCAGACTACTCTTTGGATTACTTACATACCGCCGCCATACAGCTGGAATATTGCTGAGTGCGGCGTGCAACTAAACTCACTCACTACTCTATTCAAAATGTATAATGGGAAGGTTATGTCCACTGCGATTCTGCTTTACCCTGTAAATGAATTCATGGCTTTTCTTGCAGCTTACAGAAACTCTAAGAGACTTAACCCCAAGACGCGCCTGGGGTGAACACCTCATTGGCAGTCATTTCATACGAAGTATAACATATGGTGGAGACTTACTGGTGAGGATCCGCATCAGGGGTTCAGACAGAGCCAAGATTGAGGATGTTGAGGCAAAGCTCAAGGGAAATATCGGTCCATTCAAACTTCCCGAGGCTAAGCTAACACTGGATAAAAGACACAAGGATATTCGAGATGATATAGAAACAGAGATTGAATATCTCTCGACAAGCGTGGACTGCGAGATGCCTCGGGATGTAGAAGAACTGATGAGAGTTTTGAATTCATTTAAATGGGAAGTGTTGAAAATAAACAACGGCAAGGGTGTACCGTGTAAGTGTGAACTTCTTCCTTTGAGTGTCCTGGACTCAACGATCCCAACCCAGACAAAGGATAAAAGTCTTGACATGCTCCTGGTACAGGTTGATGAGAAATTTGATGACTTGCGCTTTGCGAAAAAGCACCTGGAGAGGTTTGTCGAGAACCCGAGTCTTGAAATGACTGAGACACTGTCCAAAGAATATGAAGAGCTTGAAGGTCGTATTGATGATGTTTTGGACGAGTTTCATCATGTCATCAGCAGACTGGACATGACCCTGTCTGGAGATGGGCCAAGTCAGTTTACTCATATTCTGTCTGTTTATAAGGAGAAGAAGAAGATTGGTGGGTTTCAAAAGGAAGTGACTCTGTTTATCAAACGACACAAGCCAGAAGAAAGCACCGTGTGTCCTCAGGTACGTTAAATGCTAGACAGTATAATAGTCCCCGTGGATAATTCTGTAAGTTTCTCCAGGAGGAAGAGAGTTTTACGGAAGTCCATTTTTTTATTATGTCTATCTTTATTTTTTATAACAAATATGTTGGCATCCATAAAGCTCTCTTCCTTATGTGTACATTTCTAAGTGTCATTCAAAGACCCAGTTTCTCAGTGATTCTTCAAGTAAAATGTCAGGCAGGCATCAGGAATACCAATTATCAGTGTCTGTAATGGTAAAATATTGTTAATAGAATTTCAACATCTTAATAGATATTTCTTAATTGAAGTTCTCTATTAATATATGTATGGATAGCAATTCCTAATTAGAAATGGTCAGTGTAAAAAGTATAAGTTGAAAACAGGAGACAGGTTAAGACACCTACGGTGTGAAATGTCATGCGTGAATCTTTTATTTTACTTTTATTTTGTCCTTTCTTCCAGCTCACTGATGAATATCCCAAGACAGACATGGGTGCATCGTCTGAAGGATGCACAGGCTCCTTGACTGAACAAGAGACTGGACTCAGCGTATTAGTTCTGGAGAAAGGCGGATCGAGTGAGTCGTGTGTATTGGGACAGGTTTTGTTTTCAGACCCCAGTCTGGAACCCATCACTGGGGCACCTGTGTCCAGGACTGCCCGTGAGAACACTACTTTAGTGAGAGCATCCAGCATATTTACCCAATCGTCGGAAGGGCAATGTTTGAGTGATATCGGCACCTCCATTGCCTATGCCCCTCTTGGATTCCATGCTGTTCTTTTTGTGATATACATCGACCAAAATATGAACAGACATGACCGCAATACACTGAAACTTCTGAGAAGTGTCCTTGGAAGTGACATGATCAAGACTTATGGTGCTGTTGCCCTTGTTCATGATGACGTTTTTGAAACAGGTTCGGAAGCGTCACTTTCTAATTCCATCGAGACTGCAAAAGCACAGGATGACACTTTGGCGCATCTCCTTGATGAATGTGGCAACAGATGTGTATTCATTAATCGTAAAGATTTGATATCACCTTCCGAGCTGCAGGCAGCGCAGAGTGACCTCCTTCAGGTGATCGACAAGGTCCAAGTGAAAACTCGCCACACCACTTTGAGCAACGATTACTTCGTTCTCAGCAAGAGGTTGATGGCTGAAGTGGAGGAAGACGACAACCTTGCATTTGCTTTAAATGACTCTCTGGGGAACGCTCAAGAATTAGTGCAGCCTTCACAGGATAGGGAAGGACGAGTGGGAGCCAAGCTGGCCGAGCTTTTTGAAATCTGATACGACTTTTAATTTACATATACCAATCAAACAACAGTGATTGATATGATGAGCAACGTCCCAACGCCATCAGGAACCGATGCCACGTCACCTAATCCATGACAACCTAATCCATTTAGTCTTTTCTCTGACCCAGAATCCCCAGGGAAGCCATTTGATCTTGCACGAAACCTCGCTTACAGTCATGCCGTGAATACGCAATATGCACTTGTTAAAACATTATGCTGCACTGACTGACTGAGTTTTGTTTTACGCTGCTTTTAGCAATATTCCAGCAATATCCCGGCGGGGGACACCAGAAATGGGCTCCACACATTGTACCCATGTGGGGATTCGAACCCGGGTTTTCGGCGTGACGCGAGCCAACACTTTAACCACTAGGCTACCCCACCGCCCCGCATTATGCTGCAATAATATATATGCATGTTGATGTAAGTAATCCAAAAAGTAGTCTGGACCAGACAATCCAGTGATCAACAGCATAACAGCGTTCACTCAGCTTCCCTCTGGAACTCACTACCTCTCCATGTCAAGTCATCTCCTTCCATCTCCATCTTTAAATCAAGACTCAAAACATTCTTGTTCAAGCACAACTAAATCTTATAAAACTTCTTCCTGTATATAGTGTACATATTTACTGTTGCGCAAAGAGCATGCCCTTGAGGTGTGGAGTTACTACTATACTGCGCTCTACAAATGTCCATATTATTATTATTATTATAAGCATCGATCTGAGCAATTGGGATACGATGACATGTGTCAACCAAGTCAGCGAACCTGACCAAAGTATTGTTATTGGTATTAGATTGTATTGTTTCTTGGACAGTACTGGTACTCTGTAAATGTGTGATACTGATTGTAATGTGTACCAATATCCCCGGTGGTCCAATCCTATGTTAATGTGAGTATCTGCCTTTTGTGACTGTTGTAATATGTTTTATGTGTATGTATAGTCTAATCTAGTTTCAGGTATTGATATGTGCAATTCTTTTGTATCTGTTATTTAACCTCAGTAATGAATTAAGGCAATTTGTCATCCTGGTATGAAAGCAGTTTAACTCGTTACAGATTGTTATTATTTTCAAGGCGTGATGCCAAGGCTTTTAGCAGGAAATTTAATGATACGAGAGGAATCTAGTTTGTGGTTCATACAAAAAAACAAAAATGTAAATCATAATTAATGATTTACGTTTTCTTCAAAATATCAATATGTTGTGAGACATGTAATATTTTAGTGTGTCCAAATAAAATACGGGGAATGTTTCTCAGTCTTTTAAAAAAATACTTGTGCGCAAAGTAACAACTCATAACTATCCCTATCAAGTAAGTGATTGAATAGGAGTTCGGCTGTTAATGCAACACCCAAGCAGTGTCACAGAAACCAAATCCACACATTGTAGCTATGTGGGAAATCGAACTCAGGCCTTAACACTGACGAGTGAACACTTGGCTACACCACCATCCTATCAGGAATGGACAAGTATCTTGAACACGTAACCTTGCAAATATTTATAAGGGATTACAAAGAGACGAATCCAGAAATATCATGTGTACAGTGAAATTATGTGCTTGATTCAGACCTGAAGGCGTATGGATGATGACGTCAAAGTGCACTCATGTAGTGGGAAGAATTCTAACCTTTAGACACTCGTCAGAGTGTTTTTGTGATGTTTCGGATTCGAAGCCTTGTTTGAACATTTGAAATTGGGAACTTACTTGGAATCTGTGGAAAAAGATGATTGTTTCAAATTCCTGTGCCTTGTGAGGCAGGAATGACGTCGCTCAGAAATGATATGAAGTCACTGTGGAAATGTGTCTCGTGATGATGGAATAGCATCAGATAACTGAGAAGCCTGATACACAGAATGTGGACAAAAGGCGTCGCCTGGAACAATGGTTGCAAAGTGACGCAGTTCTCTGACGATAAACTAGCACCAGAGTTTTCCAAATAAAACCTCAAACATAACTAACATAATTAATGTGAATATCGGATTCGAGCTACGATCGAAAGCATCACAAACGCACATAACTGCTCCTCATGTAATTTATTGATTTCGTTTTAAGCTGTTTTAGACCTGGTTTTGCAAACACATTTAACATCACTTTCCTTCATAACATTCAAACAAGAATGTTTACATCAAGCTTGTCCATCCAGCTGTCGAGATGACACAATACAGCACTGCACAACATCTGTACCTGAAAATCAAACATTGAAAGTAATTCAAGAATAGGTGTAGCGTGGCCTATCCAATAATGTGAGACGAGCTGTCGGTGACGGCGTGACTCCTGATGAAGGGAGGGGCTGGCAGGTCGTTGTCTCTCCCGTACACGGCGCACTTCCGGAGCGGACAAGGGCTGGTCCGCCATTCGTATCGAAGGCCAACAAGATGGCGACTACCACAACCGGATGTCGAGACCATCACAGATTTTGTGTCGTGCGTCGTGATTGGTGCAGCAACCCAGACGTCATGGGCACCACACGTCGAAGTACTTGAGCTCGAGCAACAAACCTGTCAATTGAAATCTGATTAATACGAATATAGAAGTGAATGAACTGTTACATTATTCGTCACTGACTGAGAAAATCAAAGTTTTACTTCGTAATGTCAGGGAATCTTATTACGACTTCATATATGGATCGGTTGGTAATGCTTGTTTCAAGGTTATTATACGACTTGATAATAAGTACATATTTTTTTTAAATCTCTTACCAGTTTGATGTTTTCTAATTTTATAAATTCTGACACCAAATGGTAAAACATGCCACCGATAAGGCCAGTATGTTATCTTGGGAAGACCAGGGCCAAGAGCCTTCATAAGTTCTATCAACCTTTTCTTTGACACTGAAACCTGAAGACATGCCCATACCTCTTTTGAAGATAGGTATATTGCTGGACCTATGAAATGTACCACCAAATCCCTGTCTTAAAGATTAACCATAATCCATATGTAGTATTAAGGAAGTACTGTCTTTATATTCACAGAACATATATGAGACAAGTGGAATTAATGGCATGTCTATTCCCAAAACTTCAAAGAATTATGCGTAAGTTTTTACAATCTCAGAAAAGGACCGAGTTCAGTTCTATTAAAATCATTTCATTTTTAACTTTGCACACCACTATCTACAAAAGAATAACATCATTCCTTGATCTATGGGATATTTGTTAGAGCACAAGGTGAGCATAGGCATAGTTACATAGCTGTCTTCAGCAGTTCAAGACAATTTGTCAGAAATGATAGCAAAACACTGAAGGTTCACTGAGGAAACAATATGTGGAATTCAAATAAAATTTTGGGGTAGATATTTAGACCAAAGTAGGCGTCCCCATAACGACCACTTGTGCCCCCTCCCTCCTTGCCGATATGCCTGTTTCCTAATGCATATGAATCAGAAAATATGCACGGGTTGGCAAAATCATTTTCCTTCCTCTCATGTATCAACCTCAACTTGAAATAGAGTACGCCAGTGACAACCCTTCATTGTTTTCATGTTTAGATCTATGCAGTAAGATTTGGAGTGAAAACATCTCTAGGATGTCAAACACTAGACTTTGCATGTGTTTACGACAGAAGCAACCGGTGGCCACATGTTCGGGACCCCAAGCTATAGTATCATCACTAATTGATAGTGACTTACTGGGTGTTCTCAGCTAGCTCAAAACTGAAATTCAAGGGGGTTAAGGGGATTAGGGCTAGGGGATTATAGTCTGTATCTGAACTATGTTCACTTAGTGTAGGCTAGCTCAAATAACCGAACTGAGTTCACCAGGTAAATAAAGTTTGATGTTATGAACTGTGTTCACTTTCATTTTGATGAATTTGTTCACTTCGTGTTTTTAAGTTGTGAAATGATTTTTTTAACTGTTGTTATAACTGTATGGTATTTGTTCAGTTTCATTAGATGAACTTTTCGGGCAATGCTAATTTACCGCATCGTTACACACGACTGATTTTGAGATCCAGTGAACCATTTTTGAGCTAGCTGAGGGTAAACCGATTAACTAACGCAGGTTCATGATCAGAATCGTAAATCAACTCAGTTCTTGGCAGATGCTTCATGTGGATGTGGAAAAGGTTTGCTGCTTTTATTTGCACTCCCAGCGATGACCCATTAAACTAGCTGCCGACTTGAAATATGAATTTTATCTTTTTCCGGATAAATAATATAAGTGCACGTGATTATAAAATTGTGTCGTTTTTTGACCATTTACCTCAAACCCGTCGTTATTCCTGACTTCTAATGGTGTGTTTCCAGCGTTGAATTCGATCTTAAGAAGTCGATCTTTATCGTTGACACCAAAACCGGAGGAGAAAGGACCTTGGTAGTTCAGACCCTTCTCTTCGTAGGCAACGGCCCTCCCTGCTAACACCAGTCTCCTTGCCACATCTTCCTTGTACCGAGGGTGGATACTGTAGAATAAGATGCGGTGATCAGCAACATCAACACCCAGTAGGGTGAGGCCATAACGGCAAATGGCTTGTTTGTTTCTTGTTCTACGCTGAAGTGTTCAGTGTTTGAGTGTAATGTTCGAGTCTGAACAAACCAATCAAGTTGTTAATATAATGATCAGCATGTTAATGAACCTGACCATTCGATTCACTTAGAAAACCTCTTACGAATTGAATTACTAAAGCGAGTAGGTGGTTGGGTGAGATTTTACGCCGCTTTTAGCACTATTCCAGCAATATCACGACGGGGCATCAGAAATGGGCTTCACACATTCACACATTGTACCCAGGTTGGAAACGAACCCGGGTGTTCCACGTGACAAGCATTTAACCACTAGGCTACCCAACCTCCCCATATGTTGTTGGAAAACGTGCAAGTAAAATGGAAACGTTAATTTAATCATTTATACTTAATGGATAATATTAACCTACGTTCCGTATGGGGATGCGAAATCCGGTAGGTCCATTGCGACTGCCATGAACGTGTTGAGCATTTTAACATTAGGTGCACGTCCAAGATTAGCCGTCTGTGCCCAACGCAGAGCAGGGAACGAGCCGACGTACGTGACGTTATTATTGGCAGCAAGCTGACAACAGAGCAGGAATTGATAATGCATGGCTGGTTGGTTGGTTGGTTGTTTAACGCCGCACTCAGCAATATTCCAGCTATATGGCGGCAGTCTGTAAATAATCGAGTCTGGACTAGACAATCCAGTGATCAACAGCATGAACATCGATCTACGCAATTGGGATACGATGACATGTGTCATCCAAGTCAGCGAGCCTGACCACCCGATCCCGTTAGTCGCCTGGGTTGCCGAAGACGAATTCTAACCCGGATCTTCACGGGTTAAGGTAATACATGGAGACAACCTCCCATATTACAACATTCGTGAGATAAGATTGAAATACCTCCTAACCTAACACATGTTCTATATATGCACACGTTAAGTCACATTTCATAACTAACTAACGTTCATTATACAATACTGATGTATATATATATATATGTAAACAATGCCAAATGTTGTGATTATTGCAGACAAAGGATGATTTAATCATATGACTATATAAGTTCAAGTGTTTTCAAGCTGACAAAAACGTTATGATCACAGATTTATCTTTGTGATCATCTGACCTGTTGGCAATGTTGGTACATGATTTAGATTATATCTAGCTGGTATATTAAAATAGGTTAGCTATTTTGACTCATTCGAGATGAGAGATTTGTAAATTCATTCGTCTGCTGTAGTGATTAGAACTTGATTTGTGATTGGCAGGTGAAGACCGACATGTACATTTGGTTTAAAATATATCGTATATAAATATTGTTACCTGAACAAATCCGAAGGGGAAATCTGCTTGTGTCTCTCCCAAAGATCTTTGATGGAATTTACTTCTCCAGTCGGCTATCATAGCAGGGAACTCACAGGCGTAGCGATCAGGATGGCGCGCATTGTTTTCTCCTAACAATAATATATATGTATATATTATTTCACGTTATATTTAAGCTCAAATACAATGAAAGAACAATAAAATTTAGGCACAATTTTGCCGTTCATATACAATGCTGGGCAACACAAAAACGTATGAACAATGTTTCAAAATAAATATTATCAAAGACAAGTTTAAATGGCACGACGGACATAACAATAACATCATCATCATCATCATCACCATCATCATCATCTGATTGTAACTGGAGGTATTCTTGTGAAGGAAAGAATCATAATTACGGAGTGTTTTATCTTATATCTGCAGTTATAATTATGGAAATATCAGTGTTTATTTGAGAATATATTAAACGTAAAACAATGATAACCTTGGTACCACAAGACGCCGTAGATTGTCATGTAAGTTAAAGGATTCATCATGGAGTTCCACAGAACGTTGTCGGAATTCGGTCCCCTGAGAGAAATCATAGTTAAGGATTATATTTCATTCTTTAACTTACAATTCAGTGGTACAGTTTACTGTTGTGGTGGATTACGGTTAATGTATTAGTTTCATACTTTAGCGATCAAATAATTATAAAGCAATAGGCGCTATACATAAGACATAACATATAGAGTTTTAAAACAGCATGTTGACTTGAAATATCATAAAATTAGTGAGTGAGTGAGTTTAGTTTTACGTCGCTTATAGCAATATTCCAGCAACATCACGGCGGGGTACACCAGTAATTGTTTGATCGGCATTCTAGAAGTTGGTGACTCAAAAATGAAACATACAACTTTATGAATGACAACTTCTTATTTATTGCATACAGCAACGTTTCGATGCAGATTCTTACATTGTTATCAAGCTAAAAGTGAGAAAGAAAGAATATACATCGAAACGTCGCTCTATGCAATAAATAAGAAGTTGTCATCCATAAAGATGTATGTTTCACCAGTAATGGGCTTCACACATTGTACCCATGTGGGAAATCGAACCCGGGTCCACGGCGTGATGAGCTTTAACCACTGGACTACCCCACCGCCCCATGACCGGCTGACATAAGACGTATTACCTCTTTGCTTTCACTGGACACTTTTGGAGAGCGTCGGGAGATGACCATGCCTCGATGGACGTACCCCCCCAGGCCGACTCCACCATACCAAGGGGATATTTGCGGTGAGGGTAGAGGTATTGTGCGTATAGCCAGCACACAGCAGAAAACAGCTGGAGAGATGCTGTACGTAAAACGAAATTTAATAGTTAGTATTATAAGAATAGTAGAATATAGATTGGTGCAAATTAAATTTTATATTTTGAATACAAATTCTGTTATTTCTATTCTGAGGGTTCTTGTTCACGAGCCGACAGAATTGCAAGAATAATTTTTCTCAAAGTACATAGGTATCCTACTTAAAACCCTTTTTGTTTAAAACGTTTGAAGCGGTAAAGGATTGTTTTGCCGTGTGCAAAATGTCGGGAAGCGATCGTAAAATTTCCAACTAAGAATAATGATAATATGATAAATATAATCATCATCTTTGCATGATGCATGTGACAGGCGTTCTAGATCTCTGTTGCTTATTGATATTGACCTGTACAGCGCATAGTACAAGGCACGTTTTGTGGGGTTTTAAATCTGCGTTTATCGATTTTGAAAATATGATTAGAGATATAATTATCTCAAATTCAGAGCAAGAAAACTTATGTCTCCTAAAGTTGTACGTGTTATATGTATCTCATTATTTTGACACGAACACTTAGACGTAGCATATTTCTGGCACAAGATAGTGTTTGCAAAATTTTAAATGTTGTTCAAATATTGGAAAACAGTACATAGTTCAGTTTCCCATAGTGACACGTTTTCCGTCACATGGGAGACACATTGTGAAAAATAAGCGAATTTAAGACAAACCCTCCATTCACAATACCGGTTTCTTCCAGCAACAGACGGACGTCATACACAAAAATGGCAGACGCATGTTACTTAAGAAAACCTATATTCATGGTATGTGGCTTAAGTATAACATTGGTTCACCTTGTGATGGGAGAGGAGGGGTAGCCTAGAGGTTATGCTCTTTGTCACACCGAAGACCCGGGTTCGATTCCCACATGGGTACAATGTGTGAAGCCCATTTCTGGTGTCCCCCCCTCCGTGATATTGCTATAATGTTGCTAAAACTACTCACTCACTCACCTTGTGACGGTTTCGACCAGTGGAGTGCCGCGCCATGGAGGTCATGGAAGGCGGTGTTGGATTCCAGGGTGTGAGTTCTGAATACACGGATATCCGTGAAGTTCTCTGCCTCTGCTATAGCTTTAGCGGGGTCAAATAGCTGAACAGAGATTAATTCTGTCATATTTCAATAGTTCAGACACAGAGAGAAAATATTCATAAGGAATACTTATTCTTTTTCAAGTTGTGCAAATGGAGATTCATAAAACCGTTATTGTGTATTTGGTCATATTAATAGGAGTTAATGAGTATGGTTTTACAACGCCTTTAACAATATTACCTGAAATATTGGGGCGGGGGTCACCACATATTCTACCCATAAACATAACAAATAACAATAACTTTAGGGATCCCATATTGTACGCATGTAGGGATCGAACCCAGGCCTACGATGTAAAGATTGACCACTACTCGAGTATATGTAAAGAATGGTATTAACATAGTAGATGATGTAATATTAGACATACCCGACTGACGTAAAAATTCATGTTGCTTTGTCCAGAGCAAATCCATACGTCTCCAAAAGGACATCCCCGATTGAGACATTTCCCCATGGATATGAGGCTGTTATTGTGAAAGGTCCGGGGTCTGTTATTGCAGGGAGCTTTACTGTCCAAACACCGTCTAGCTCTCCACTGGGGTCAGCGACGACTTTGGTGGATACATTACCATGGCCACCACTAACTTCAACCACCACGGCTTCTCCGATCTTATTGGAGGTTCCCCAAACCACTGCCTGTTTGGGACCTCTTTGAAGAACCATATGGTCCTGGTAGTATGTAGCGAACTTTAGGTAAGCTGCGCATACTGTGAATTGGAAAACAATGAATACGGCTGTTTACTGATCATAATGCCCATTTTCAGTCTGAAATAGTTGGTTGGGTTGTTTTGTAACATCGCACTCAGCAATATTCCAGCTATATGGCGGCGGTCTGTAAATAATCCAGCCTGGACTAGACAATTCAGTGATCAACAGCATGAGCATCGACCTACGCAACTGGGATACGATGACACGTGTCAACCAAGTCAGCGAGTCTGACCAACCGATCCCGTTAGTAGCCTTTTATGACAAGCATGGGTTACTGAAGGCCAATTCTAATCCGGATCTTCACGAGTTATTGCTTGAAATAGAATGTGGTTCTTTCAGCAATATTCCAGCTATATGACGGAAGCCTGTAGATAACATAGTCTGAACCAGACATACCGGTGATGAGCATCGATCTTCACAAATAGGATACCGTCCGATCAGTTGCTTCTTACAAAAACATGGGTTGCTGAAGACCAATTCTAACCCGGATCTTCTTGGGGTCGAGGACAGAATCGGTAGAGACGGAACAATTTCAGAGTCAACCCCGGGTCTACTGTACAAAGACAAATAAAGGGCCAAACCGACTCTCAATCAGTTGTTTTAGATCACTGTGACTACACTGTGACAAAGGCACAGTTATGAATTGTTAATGTTTTCATGCAGAAAAGGATCTTACCTGGAAGCAGGAAAGCAAAAATCACCAAGACTATATTCAGTTTCATATCGGTATGACTACGAAAGAACAATGGCAAACGGCAGATGTTTGGTTCTGTTAAACAGATAATTGATAAGGTTCCGTGTCAAGACAATGCACGATCACCGCGGACAGCTATATCTCTCACACAATGTAAACTGGGTTGACTTGAAGTACAATTGTTTCTCATGTTAACACAGTCACAATGTACATTTGAACACGACTAATATTTAACAAGCATTGGCTAGAACAACAATACACTTTTAATTTAGCTTTATCTTTTTCCAATTAATAACTTTACGAGCAAGCAAGAAGTGAAATCACTAATCACGAACGCATTCCTGAAATTTGTGAAAGCCAACCTTCATGAAAACATGTTTCCTCCAAAATTCCTCCAAATTGTTTATGTTTGATATATTTCGGGTTTCACATGAACCTAAATAATAAGCATCTGTGCACTGTGATGAATAAATAAAGAACAGAGAGGTGCATGGAAAATAATTTTAATACAAACATATACATCATTATCCATTGTTGTCAAAAATGAGGAAGATGGTAGGGAATAATAAAGATAAAAATCACAGTCAATATTTTGTGCGTTCTAAATTAAATGAGTGTGAAAGTTGCAGCAAAATTCAAACAATGTGACGGCGACCTTATAAGGATCTAGATCTCTGGATCGGAAAACAAGTGATGAATATTATTGTTGAAGTCAGATGCTGTTGGGGTACAGAGACACGCTAGAATATCACCGTGCATGACACGCACACCATCTAGCCTCTCAACTGGGATGTCCACGTGGAGGATAAAACCTACAAACAACACTGGTACCCCATCCCCACCTATACAGGCCCTAAACAGGATAATATATAGTTTTTAAATAAATCACAGTTTGAAATAACTAAATCTGTAGAATGATTTCCTGCCAGGTGTTCCAAACCGTACACCTGTATACCATGAACAAACAATGTATAATTTTACCCGTAGTTCACTACAACGTATTCGTCTAACACCGATTCTCATTAATGCAGTGAGGTAGTCTGGTGGTTGATGCGCTCGTCACGCCGAAGACGTGAGTTCGATTCGAAGCGAGTTTGCAATGTTTGAAGACCACTCCTACACAGCAGTTTCCTACACCTTGTTGGAATTATGATTGACATCAACATCGGTGGTGGTCGGGGTGACATATTTAGGTAAAGGTCCGTCTATGTCGATCCCAGGTGTGTAGTCCACGCCGTTGTGTTCCCTAAATTTGCCCAGAGCACGTTCTGTACACTCCAAGAACACGTTGAACGTGAATCGTATATCATCGGAAGTAGTTGCCTGTGCGCATACAGCCACGCGCAGGAAGTAGATGTCTCTCGCGATGGCGGGAATGATGTATATCCGGCCGTCTGTCAGTACCTCATCATGAAGGAGTTCAGTCAGTCGATTTGGCCCCTGAAAAAATGAATAATGTGAGGAGAGATTTTAAGTTGGATGACTTTAATCTACCTGAAAACCCTCTATTTACCACACGAACTGAAACCTATTGTAAAGTACAATCCTCAGATTATATTAAATACAATTCTATGATCGTTTTTGGTACCGTTCGTATTATTTACAAATACTGAAAATAATGGTTTTCGACAAAGTACAAGTTGTACCATTCGACTAGCACTTCTTGAATCGCTGTGCACCATGCCCATGGTTTTAGACAACATGAAAAAATACCTGTAACTCTTCGAGCTTCGTCCGACGCCAGTCTGTGACACACCGTGTTGGTATTGAAATACTGCTCTGAGCACCCTTAAACAAACCGCATGCACCCACTCACTCATTCACTTACTTGTACAATTGAGGGTTAGAGACGAAATGATTTACCTTTAAACGAAAGCAGACTAAACCCATGATAACTTCTGCTACAATCTCAAAGCGGTCGTCTTTGCCCACCATACTCTCAAGCTCCTTCGCAAGACGCACATGCTGGAAAACAGAATTGTAGTACATGTAATTAGAATGTCTCACTAGATTCATGATTGTAAGCAAATGAAATAAGCGGTGTTCAGAATGTACCTTTCTTATGTATTGCTGAATACCAGAAACGCCATAGGACCTGAGGACGAACCAGAGTTTGAGGGATCGGAACCGTCTGCCAAGCGGAATCTGCCAATGCTGGAACATCATTATACTGCCATTTAGTTCCAGAAATACTGGTATCTCACCCAAATATATACCAATTGTACGCAAAACATTTCAATCGGAAACGAGCCCAGATCAATTCTTAATTTGAGTAAGATCTGAGGCAATCTAGACGTGACCAATGATTTTTTAATTACGTTGGACTCCTTTTAAAAATGCCCCCTACGGTCTGGGCGACTGGATAGATTTGAAAAAGCTGATTTCATCATAGTGCTTGCTGTATCATTGCCAAGTGATAAATGCAACAGGGAGTAAGTCCATGTGATGCTTTTCGTCACAACAAATTATCTTCCACTTTTATTTGATGAAGACTACATTGCGGTTCACGATGATATATTTGAGGTATGAGTAACTAAGTAAATCTGCATTTAATGACACTTGGAACAGTATTCCATGTCATAGCGTTGCAGCATGATGAGAGAAGAAAGCAAGAGGTAATGCAGGTATAAGCCTCTTAGCATTTACGTGAACCCAACCAGCATGAGTTTGGTACAGGAAAACCTGTAGCTGTAATCCCACGCGAAAGGGGATCGGAACAAATGATTTTCTCGTATGTCTAAAAGAACGTGCCTTGGACGACTGTACACCCATGTCAGAAATGTTTAAATGGAAAGCCATGTGTTGCAGACAAGAGTCAATTTCCTCAAATGGTGAGGGATGTTCCTACCCTGTAGTCGGGCACCTTGTCCTGGTCTTGGTGTTTAAGGTATACCGGGTCGACGTTGAAGGCGTCCACCAGCAGCTTCCTGTCCTTGATCCTGAAACAGTGTTCAAGTCAATGCTAAATGACACAGCAACATTCCACTTACATCAGTCTGGACCAGGTAAACCAGTATTATAAGCAACGATCCACATCATCAGGGCACAATTAAGAATACACTTGTCAATTGAAAAAAGTTGTATATTCTTGACGAAGTCCACGTACAACAAAGATGGATACAAAGAAAAGATAATAAAATTTGTTACAGCGACATTTCATAGCATCATATGCAGTAATGATACGGTCCATATAAACTTCCTGTCAAAAGTTTAGACTCACTTACTTCAGGCAACTGTTCCAAACTAAAAAAAGATACTACTTTTAAAAGGTACTCTTGACACATTCACTGATGTAATGTAAACAAAATTCGTAACGTTGAAAAGATCATTTTCAAGAGTTCAATACTTGATAAAAATCAGTGAAAATTGGCGAATTCTTAACAAAACATTACACCAAACCGCAGCTGTTCACATGCACGATATTTGCACATGCAATTTGATGCATGATCAATTCATCTGCAAAAGGTTGGCAGTTGGTTCCCCCCAATGTCCTTTGCTATTTGCACCCAATCCACTGTTCGTTCGAGAAAGCCTTGGTTCCTTGATGCCAATAGTGAGATTGAATAACTAGTCATGAGATAATGTCAGCTAACGATCGATAATGTCCAGGATAATGACAGAAAAATATAAGTAATGCCCAGCATATTCTCCTTTTTCTTACCACATGACTGACAGGTCAAAGTTGCACAACAGCCATTTATGAGGGTTCATGCTGAATGTTTCGGCGTACTGAAACCAAGTAAAGATATTGCAATCAGTATACAGAATCTGAAACCTCACGTCATGTTAAGACGTGCACCGTAAATTGCCTTTAACCGCATCTATGCTGCCCGTCTTGTGCGCATTGAAGGAAACTGGTGTTTTTAGCTTCTTTTTATGAAAAAAGAAATCGTTCTTACCTCGACACCCTTCATGTATGACCGGAACTCAGGACAAACAAAGGCACTTCCGGCATAAGCAGCATCGATGTGTAGCCATATACCCTCCTCCTCACCTGTAATGTTGGTTTAAAACTTCCCTTATAACGAACACGCTTACAAGGTTTGTTTGTTGTTTTACGCCGCACTCAGCAATATTCCAGCTATATGGCGGTGGTCTGTAAATAATCGAGTCTGGACCAGACAATCCAATGGTCAACATGAGCATCCATCTACGCAATTGGGATACGATGACACATGCCATGGCCAATTCTAATCCGGATCTTCACAGGTCTCACTTATAAGGAAGGGGTCTCCTTCCACAAAGCACTAAGGTGATCGTAAGTCACTAAGGTAACCTTAGTGCAATGTTAAATAATGGGAGTTAAGGTTAACCTTAGTAAAGGTTGCTTCGTGAAAGGAGCCCCAGAACAATGACACGTTGTTATAACTCTCGAATTACAAATAATCCGCTGTTTGGGTTGGGGGTCTAACAAGATGTTCGAATCCACACCGACACGTCGCCTTGGTTGTAATAAAGAAGTTGTTTATCAATGGGATGTTGTCAGTCTACACACTGCAGACAATCATAAACGGGAAGCATGAACTCACATATTGGACCAATTTCTTCAAGGTTGTCGAAAGCACACGTTCCAGTGGTTCCTAAGGAGGCGCACACCTAGAAACGAGCCACATCAGTATATATCCTGCAAATGTGGATAAGTGCTAGTTATACGGCGTGACAGTTTAATGAATGAGAAAAGATTGAAGTCGGAGATGATTATCAGAAGCACATTACTGCGTGATATTGACAAATCAAGGCCTATACACAGTACGAATCTAGGATTCAATTTCGCGATCCGCGATTAGAAAGGGGAGCAGCTCGAGAGCTGAGGCAATCTAGACTTGTCCGATGATTCTAGACTTGAGTGAGTGAGTGAGTGAGTGAGTTTGGTTTATGCCGCTTTTAGCAATACTCCAGCAATATCACGGCGGGAGACACCAGAAATGGGCTTCACACATTATACCCATGTGGGGAATCGATCCCGTGTCAACGGCGTGACAAGCGAACGCTTTAACCACTATTCTATCCCACCACCCTCTCTAGACTTGAGCTGAACTGAATTCATATATTCATTGTCAAGGGTTGTGAGCTGGTTGTGACTTGCCCGACCATATTAGACGTGAGTTGGACTCCTATTTAAATTTATTGTCTGGGGTATTGCAGACAGTGAGTGAGTGAGTGAGTGAGTGAGTATGGTTTTACGCCGCGTTTTAGCAATATTCCAGCAATATCATGGCGGGGGACACCAGAAATGGGCTTCACACATTGTGCCCATGTGGGGAATCAAACCCGGATCTTCGGCGTGTCGACGAGCCAACGCTTTAACCAATCGGCTACCCCACAGCCCCGTACTGGAGACAGACTAAGGACAAGCGTCAGATACTCACAAAGAACGGCAACAGTCCTTGTTTCTTGTCCTCCTGTATGGCCGCCCTCAGCGTGTCCCCCCTCAGACTGTAGTTGTCATCCGTCGCCAGCTTCCTCATCTTCACCTCACCCAGAAGCCCCGACCGATGGACAGATGAGTTGGCCTGGTGGGACAGTGGGGCTAATTATTGAAGGCTGTACAAATCATACTGAGGTAGTTGAAACACGACGTTGTGACAATATGTGTACCACAACAGCATGAGCATTACAATTGTGAGCATCGTTACCTTCCCGTAATGTAGAGTTCTTTCACGACATAGTGTCACGTGCTTCGTTACCTAGGTTCAGTGGTGTCAGTTCAGCTCAATGATATCGATCTGTTACGGTAAGCTTGCAAAATATGTTCTCAAAATAATGTTCTCCCACATAGTTTTAATATATACTCTGCAAAAAAAGAAACGATGTACACACGACGTCTTTCGTCTCTACGGAGAAGCAAAAATGCCTGACTCGTCACTTAATTCAAAAAACGATGTCATCGCTGTTGCGGACTTGGTCCTTAATACCACTGACACCTCAGCCGACGATTCCGATCAGTCCAAATTTCGGTAGATCTTCAGTCAAACATGACAACAGTGTGTGGATATTGCACTAAATTGACAATTCCCACAAAACAGAAAAGATGGAATCAACCTATTGCTAACGTTCCCTGATCAGATGCGTAGTAAGAAAAGATGGAATCAACCTATTGCTGACGTTACCTGATCAGATGCGTAGTAAGAAAAGATGGAATCAACCTATTGCTGACGTTACCTGATCAGATGTGTAGCCAATCAGTTTTGAAATAACGTCCACGTTTCGGAGGTTCGGATCTTGTTCTTTCAGGCGTTTGACATATTTGGTCCTAGCAGCTAACAGACACAGAAACACTGTCTCACTCGCCGTCGACTAGAACACAGAACACAGACATGTACACAATAACTGCATCCTTGTAACAATCAGTGCTGCTACATATGCGTACCCAAAGTCATTATATACACTGCATGGCGTTGTCTTGTCCATGGCTATATCCACCCAACCATACTTCAGGCCGTTGATGTAGGATGTATTACTGTATATTTGCTATGATTCCGCATGGAGTATTAAGACCTGAACATTTCTGAAGAAGCCAGCACAAATAGATATAAGATTGAGCTTTTCGAAAATCATTCTGCACGGCATTTCCAGATTCTTGAGTCCTCTTTAGCAACTGAAATTACAGTGGTTTTACGGTGTTCTTTGAGGACAGAGATGAATTTCGGACTCCGAGGCTTATTGTTGAAATATCAATAACAACGATAAAATACAATAAAATGGGACCTAAAATGAAACCTTGAGGCACACCCTTAATAGAAATAAACTAGTGAAAATATGCCAGAGTTTTACGTGTCGCTTCCTTCTATTGATGTTGTGTATTATCTTGTGAGTAAAGAGAGAGAGTGAGTAAACATTGCTAAACGCCACATCAGCTAGTTATCTGATAGCCCACAGTCAGTCATATTCGCCAATATTAGGCGGTGATACGGCATACACAACTCTTTTGACGCACCGGAATGACAGCCACGATGAAAGGCTGTCTGCTAGTCATCAACTAGGTCGTCATGTTGACGCATAATGTGTGATATCCTACGGTTATGACACCGCCGCCAAATGCGTCGTACCGCTCCTACACAACCTGCCCGAATGACGTTGTCGCCGAGTAGGTCATACTGACGTTTTACCCTTCTGTATAACCTACCTGGATGACACCGCCTTCTGGATAACCTTTCCGAATGACACTGCTTCTGTATATCCTACCTGGATGACATCGACTTCTGTATAGCCTACCTGTGTGACACCGCCTTCTGTATAACCTACCTGTATGACACCGCCACCGGGCCCGTCTCGCTGATGCAAAAACTCCTCCGGCAGGTTCAGCATCTTCCCCAACCAGTCAGTTGTCACCATCTCTACCTCCGTGCATGCGGGGCTGGCCGCCTACAGTCAGTAATGTGTCTCATTGACATATAAATATAACTTGAAACAAGCTAGCGGTACGTGATTGTGTGTTTGTTTGTTGTTTAACGTCACGCCCAGCAATATTCAAAATATATGGCGGCGGACTAAACAATATGGACCTTACAATCCAGTGATCAACAGCATGAGCATCGATCTACGCAACTGACATGTATCAACCACGTCATCATGTCTGACCACCCGATCACGTCAGTCGCCTCTTACGACAAGCATGGGCTGCTGAAGACCAATTCTAATCCGGTTCTAGTAATACTTGAACAACTCAGTACTGGTTTCAGTTCATAATTTGGTGGGGCGGTGGGGTAGCCTAGTGGTTAAAGCGTCCGCTCGTCAAGCCGAAGACACGGGTTCGAATCCCCAGATGGGTACAATATGTGAAGCCCATTTCTGGTGTCCCCTGCCGTGATATTGCTGGAATATTGCTAAAAGCGGCGTAAAACCAAACTCACTCACTCACTCACTCATAATTTGGTTAATCAACACACCGTGAAAAAGAATGGTAATGCTATTGTACCTCAATTCACAACGATAAATGTTTGTTCTACAAACTAAGTGATATTACAATAATAACATTATGTACCATATTTATGCCCACTTTTGTTATGGGGTTGCGGGTACAATGATCCTGAATAATTCGTCAACTCAAACGTAATTTTTGATTGAAGCAGTAGGTTTCAATAGAACCTGCTGTATTCAACAGGGTATCTGATGTAGTAAGGAAATACCTTTTTGTTAACATCAATGCAAATGTTATATTTGTATGACTATTAAAACCAGATTTCCTTGGATAAATACTAAACAGCCTTACCCACGAGAAACCAATACAACCAATTGCGTCTCCCAGCATGTCACCCAAGATGGACGGATAGGAACTTCCGGCAGCAAAGTAACCATGGAAACGGGGACTATGCCAGTGGGTGACCTAAAACAGAAGTTGTGGGTGTAAGGATCTTTTCACTCATGCCTCTCTGGAAGGATTTCATATTGGCGTGTGAAGATTTGTACTTCAAACAGGAACACCAACTCTATTTCTGTTTACAAGCAACTGAAATGAACATTAGGGAATAACTTGAAAATTGTTGCTTTTAAAGTATTTTAATGTTTTCAACAACAACAACAACAACAACAACAACAACAACAACGGCGACATCGATGATGACGATGATGATTTGCAAAAGCATATTCTAACACAATTATTACTACTTGTTCACCTTATATTTTCATAGGTATATTTCTAACTACGGTTGAAGAATCGCTTATGGGATTCTCTTTCAAGAAAAGTCTCAAAATAGATATAGGAAAATGATTTTGAAATATATTTCAAACTGAAAAATGCGTGGAGAGTCCTATCATCATTATTGTACGCGATGTCAAGTAATTGTCTGAACTTGCATGTAACCTTGCCGAGTTTTGAAGAAAACAAGACCCGTTAAGCCGCATCTCCAGATAATGTTAGCTCGGTTTCTAGGAAGTGAGTGAGTGAGTGAGTGAGGTTAGTATTTGCTGTTTAGCAATATTCCACCAAATATGGGCTTCACACATTGTACCCCACATTGTTTAGGAATCGAACCCGGGTCTTTAGCGTGACGAGCAAACGCCTTAACTATCAGGCTACCCCACCGCCCCAACTCCCCAGATGACGTACCCCAGGCATCACGATGTCCTCTACATCCTTAAATATGTCTTCCCACGTCTCTGGTGCCTCCGGTGCTTCCTCTCTCATCAATGACGTCAGATACCCTGGTCTGACGCGATGCATGACGTCACGATCTCGTATATTCTCGTAGTAGTCCGCGATATAATCCACCATTTCTTTGCCATGTTTTCGAAATTCGTCCGCATTCATTTTTAACAATAAAGACTCCAAGAATGTCCCTATCAATGACATAAAAACATAAAACAATTTTAAAGAAACATGGAACACGTTTGCAAAATACATTCGTCACCACTCGCCCCTTTCCGTAACCTCCATCAAGACACGATGGACTTCCACCTATCGTTGAAGTTATGTCCCAAAGCAAGATAAACCAATCAGAACGCGCGTAATAATTTATGTATTTGGGGAAAAATTCCATTGCATTAAGTTTTAGTTATACATACGTCGTGTATCAAACATGTACTTAAGATACATGTACTCTTGTGTTCACTCGTACTGTTTATCTTGTTATGGGCTATGTGTTTAAAATAGCATCTGCAATATATATGATATATGAGAATAATATATGTAAATCATAACGCAAAGTAGTCTAACAAAGCTGCCAATTCCGTTTGCACATAGACGGAAACCAGTCCCAGAATAACAACAGTTGGTCACGAATGTTGCAATAGCTATACTTTAACTGGCTTAGTAATGGATTGTAACAACAGTTGGTCTTACATTCCGTTTTGACGAAGAATGAATACAACGAATACAATGGTAAGTACAAAGGTTATCACTGAAAGGATGTGGTTGGAAAGGACCTTTTGTGGCACACTGGAAAATGTCAAACTATGAAGTTACGAAAAACATTGTATTAATAGTATGCTAATGTTTGGATGTTTCGATGAGTCAAAGATATGAAAAGTCATAAATATGCATAAGTCGATTTACCACTCACATGATCATATCAGTTACACATTTTAATCTTTTGTTTTATATTTCTTGAATGATTTTGCAGATCTGTTGGGCAAAAATACCCTGTGTCATATCATCAGTCCTTTTATTTATTATAAATACATGAATAGAACATGCTCTTGTGCACAAGCATAGATGAACACATATCACTTTCTATTAAATGTGGGGCGGTGGGGTAGCCTAGTGGTTAAAGCGTTCGCAAGTCACGCCGAAGACCCGGGTTCGAGTCTCCACATGGGTACAATGTGTGAAACACATGATTTCTGGTGTCCCCCGCCGTGATGTTGCTGGAATATTGCTGAAAGCGGCGTAAAACCATACTAACTCTATTAAATGGCAAAGGTAATAATAACTGGTTACATATTTAAGCTTCACTTTCTCTGTTAAAAACTCCTCTTAATATATTCAGCAGTTTACTTAATGAGATATGTGTTTCCTCTGCACATCATTGAACTTGTCCTTGATTGGATGTTTCCAACATCTTACAGGTAAAGTATCCTTTCTAATTACTTTATGATTGTCACATATAAGTGACTGAGTGAGTTGAGTTTTACGCCGCACTCAGCAATTTTCGAGCCATATGGCTGCGGTCTGTCAATAATAGAGTCTGGACCAGACAATCCAGTGATCAACAGCATGAGCATCGATCTGCGCAATTGGGATACGATGACATGTGTCAACCAAGTCAGCGAGCCTGACCATCCGATCCCGTTAGTCGCCTCTGACGACAAGCATGGGTTACTGAAGGCCAATATTCTAACCTGGACCTTCACGGGTCTATCACATATTAACTCCGATCAAAATGCCTGTATCATATTCTGTCCTTTGAAGGTTTACATTGATGAGGTTCATGTTCCCTATACTAACTTAAATTATTTTAACAAGAAAACAAGATCTAACACAATATATGGTATATGCGTATCTGTAGATACGGTATTGGGGATCGATAGATATATGTTTCATAAATCACACTGTAGTTCCCTTTTCGTGTGTCGTATGTTTGGGTACAGTTTACCGACCATATGGCAAAATCTCTTCTCTCAATCACGAATCCATTATATCTTTCATATGATGTACATATATATTCACGATATGTGGAAATGTTACTGACTTACCTCAGTGTTGTACAGTCAAGAGAACTCTGACGGGTGTCTATATACGTGGCCTGTATATATTAGGTATATATATACTCTGTGTGTGTATACACCGTGTACATGCTGGACTCTTTTTATGGAACAAAAGTTCAGGAAACACAACAGCGTCAACAGGACTATCTTATCAGGGAGCGGTCACAAGTACGATATGGACAAGCTGACAAGGGACATTGTTCCGGCGACAGGTTGTTGTGTTTTGGAAACAATTTGGGTATAATGTACCTGGATAGATAACACCCAAATCCTGATTTGTTCCAAAGGCATGAGTATGATGTAACTACATGTTTTGTTTGTTGTCACTTCACTATCTAATCATGGATGTGTCTCTAAAGGGGTAAAGGGGAGAATGAGATAAGAAACGTCTGTTAAGCTACTGTTGATGTAAGTATTTTGCTTATTTACCTATCCGTGTGTCAACTCGTGAAGATCCGGGGTAAAATTGGTCTTCAGTAACCCATGCTTGTCGTTAGAGGCGACTAACGGGATCGGGTGGTCAGGCTTGTTGACTTTGTTCACACATGTCATCGTATCCCAATTGCGTAGATCGATGCTCAATATGTTGATCACAGGACTGTCTGGTCCAGCCCCGATTACTTACAGCCCGCTGCCACGCATCTTGAATATTGCTGAGAGCTGCCCTAACCAACAAACATACAACCTATTTCAATTTACTGTAATGTCATCTGTCCATTTAAATGTATGGTTCCGAATCATTAAAGGGACATGGTCGCTTTGCTGCGACAACGACAACGACAACGCGATAATGCGACAAGGGGACAGTGATATGCAAATCAGTCTCTAGTTTGCATTTTTCGAGTTCTCATGCGGTTTGAGAGGTTTGCGTTTTGGGCGAGCACAATTAACTTTCTTTCTGGAGTCATACTGAGGTCATTTAAGTCATTTTGGGCGAGAGTTTGTTAGTACCATGTCTAGTGTGTGTTGCTATTAAATTCTAAACTGGTTATTCTAAACTGAAAGTCAATAACACTCAGTAAAGCACTCTAAAAGGAATATTCTGTTACAAACCAAATTTATTGTGCTAATTATTTATTATTTAACTTCCACATATAAACGCCATTAGGCGACATCTGTTGAAATTGGAAGTAAAATTAGGAAAATATCTGCAAACAAAACAAATATAACCCTATGTTTACATCTGCTGAAATGTGATTGTTGACATTTGGAAGAGTAATTATTTGCATATACTAATCATCTGTAAAATGTGGGTAATAATACAATTTGAACCTTACTTAATAAATCCAAAAATGTGAACTCTCATACATATTATATCATACATATTAAATAACACTTGTGCAAAGGTAGGGATTAGTAATGTATGACAGATGCTGGATAATTTAATAACATTATTATATCATCCCAAAAACTATGGTGGCTGATTTGGGCCATCGCTTTGTCGCCCTGCAAAATGTAGGCGAAATCGCAACAAAGCGATAGTACGACACGATATTACGATATGGCAACACGATACGATATGGCGACAGCCAAAAACGAAATAGCGATAACAGGACGCGATATCGTGATAGCACAACGCGAAATTGCGATAAAATTGAGCGAATGCGATATGGCGATACATCGACATTGCAATATGACGATATTGGTCAGTTACCATTTGTGAAATGTAGAGAAGCGGGTACGTTGATCATTCTTGGGATCTAATAGCAAGATAGCGGGAAGTACAAGGTACAAGGTCTGCCTAAACGCACTGCTTCTCCTGTGGTTCTAGATACCCTGGGTCTACTGCCAATTCAAGGGTATGTAGAAAAATCTTGTTTGGTACAATCTGCCGTCTAAACGATGCCTATGTTGTTAAGCAATTACTAGTATTTCTTCATCGTCTATTTGAATCCAGATGTATGACCATCATAGGTAAATCCCCGTCACCTATCCTTTACATGGTTAAGCTCGTAAACAAATATGGCTTGTTTGACGTTGTTAATACATATATCACAACATGTGTTGTATGCTCCAAAGCAAAATGGAATGATGTTGTCAAATCCAAAATTTGTGATTCTTATGAGAGTTTGTTGTGTCACCAGATTGCAGCAAGAGAGGCTCTCTCTAGATATTGTCTTATCTGGGAGCCTTGTAAAACAATCAGACTGTGGGAACTAGCTTTGATTAATAAGCATAAATGTTAAAACATCTCTCATATTATTTATGTTGGATTACAAGGGGGTAAGCGCAGTAGTTGGAACAGTGAAGCAAGTGCACGTGCGGTTCGTGATGAGCGTTAACTTAGACCAATACAAATTGTTCTCGGTGTTTCATTTAATGTGCATACACCCTTGTAATACAAACCAATAATAGCGATTTGACTCTATGATCGTTTGTTAAACAACTGTTATCATAAGTTGAATAAAATTCTAGGATTTAAATGTTCAGTTGGCAAGGTAAAATTATGAGGATTCGCAATCTTAATTTCACTTTATTCGATTTACTTTGTTCTTTAAAGTGAAATTCATCGGTACGTTTTCAATGCAAACATACTATAATTAAGCTTAGAGTATGTCCGGTTGGCCACGGAAGCTAACATGGTGGATGATACTTCAGACTGACCATACATGTATTGTACATACGACAGAAGGATGCCTGGCAGGGAGTATATAATGAAGAATTCTTGTTTTCAACTGGACAAGACAACGACAAGGCAGGTAGACCAACAAACCCCTCTGGGATGCTACCTGGCCGTTGCTGCACTATCATGTAATTGTACATTTGACACCAAATACAATGTTGTGGACCAACTGATGGCCTTCTGTGTTCGTGGAGACAGATATCCCAACTATACAGCCCCGGGATACAATCATATTACACATGATTTGATTAAGGCATTTGATACAAAATTAGGTCCAATTCATTTATTTTGATCAGAAATGAAATTGAAGTTTGGTAACAATTTATTTGCAGTCTGTGGGGAATACACACAAACAGAAGTGAGTGAGTGAGTTGAGTTTTAAGCCGCACTCAGCAATATTCCAGCTATATGGCGGCGGTTTGTAAATAATCGAGTCTGGGCCAGACAACCCAGTGATTAACAGCATGAGCATCGATCTACGCAATTGGGAACCGATGACATTTGTCAACCAAGCCAGCGAGCCTGACCACCCGATCCCGTTAGTCGCCTCTTACTACAAGCATGGGTTAAAGTTCATTCTAGCCCACGGGTCAGGGGTACTACACAAACAGGAAATCTTATGCCCGCATATGGGACCATTACTACTTCACCAATCTGATTGTTACATTCTCAGCCCGGATTGTATGAACTTCCACTGGCGACCACACAGTACCAGCATTGGTTAAAGAATTCTGATTCAACAACAGGAACAATCAATTTATTTTGGTCACCATTACTACTTCACCAATCTGATTGTTACACAGTTCTCAAATAATGATTGCTGTGATTGTATGAACCACCACATCAATACCTGGTGTAGCTAGCTACCCATCGCACGGATACGTAGCATCAGCCAGTCACCTCCTCATATTGGCAATCAATCCTCAAGGTATCATTACCGAAACGTAGATGTTAAATTGTATATGAACAAAAAGTGCTATCTACAGCGTCGTACGTTTTCTCATAGGATCTGGCATTATAATATCAATTTCTGTCGCTTTCATTGTCTTTAATTTTCCTGTGTATTTATTCTTCACCAAGACACTATAATGTTCATAGACTGGAACTTACTTTTCCAACCAAACGCATGTACTTCCTCATATAAGTTGAACGGTCGCCAGTTTTAGCAAAGGGCGGTGGGGTAGCCTAGTGGATCGCTCGTCACGCCGAAGATCCGGGTTTGATTCCCACATGGGTACAATGTGTGAAGCCCATTTCCGGTGCCTCCCGCCCTGATATTGCTGGAATATTGCTAAAAGCGGCGTAAAACCATACTCGCTCACTCACCGATCGTCAGTATATGGAGGGTGTATTAATCAATATCTCTGTCTATGTGTAATACAACTACTCCCAGCTAGTTATTAAGCTACATACTTTGCATAACAAACTGAGTTATTTTGCTTTCAACATCCAACGTTGTACAAACCGTACAACGGCGTAGTAACAATGATACGCATTTTAAATCAGGTCTCGCTTTTTGACACTTTTCTGCGAACACATATGTTTGTTTTGCAAATGTTAAAAATATTAGTCCTGACAGTTTGGGATAGTGCTCACATTATCAACCACTTCGGTTCTCTGTCTGGCATGGGCGGTGAAGTACATGTAGCTTATATAATTAGCGGTTAAAGCGTTCGGTAGTCACGCCGAAAACCAGGGTTCGATTTCCCACATGGGCGCAATGTGAGAAACCCATTTCTGGTATCCCTCGTCGTGATCTTGCTGGAATATTGCTAAAAGCGGCGTAAAACTATTGACTCACTCACTTTGTCTGACACAGATTCGATTGCTTTTAGGAATCGAGGGACTGTTTTTAGACATTAGAAATATGAGACAGTATTTTAAAAACAGTTAATAACACCAGATAGACAGAAACACATTTAAAACACTACTTGTCTTCCTGTGGGATACAAATATATTGTTTCAAGTAGGCCGAGTATACCAAGGCCATCCGTTGATATAGGGAGGGCAGGTAACCCCGAGTCTCTACTGTAGATGGCGCACTGCTCGTAGGCCTCACACGGACTTCCGGACCAATCGTAGGAGATGCCAACAACCCAGTCAGTCCCGCAGTCAGCGTACGATATTGTCACAGATGTCTGGTCATGGAACAGGATGGGTGCTGGAATATGCTTGTCTGTGTCGTAGCATTTCTCCGAACTCTCACTCGAACAGCAGAACTGAAAGCATTTGCGGTTATGTACAAATTCATGTCATAGTCGCTAGTGTAGTCGCAATTAAAATGCAATCGTTAATCCAGTAGGTCTTGTCAATATACAAATTGAATTGATGTTCTCTAAACATGTCCACCGTTCATTTCCTTATGTACATGAAACATGTCTAAATTTCTTTATGCTGAATATATATACTTTTAGCAAAAGAAAACGTCTCTATCCTGCTTAATACAAAAGTCTATTTTTAACATCTTTTGGGATGAATATACCTCAAACTACACAAGAAGTGATTTCAGGGAAAATGTCTAAAATTATAGTCTATTATTGAGTGATTATGTATAATCCTTGAAAATTTCAGTGGTTATGTATAATCACTGAGTGAATCAGACATTATACATCACTGAAAATTTCAGTGATTACACATAATCCCTGGTTTTACATATTCACTGTAACATATATATGTACCATGAACTTTAGTGTTTTCGGCGTCCAAATGGAATGCCCAGAATCAAAATTAATATAATTAGTTCTAAAAACAACTGGCATACCTGTGTTATTCATTTGCTCATGTCAGAGCAAGATATCCCTGTGATCTCTGACTGAATCAAATGTAATCATACAATCCAGTTATATGGTATAACTAGCGATATAGATGATTTTTTTAAAAATACACAAATCACTTTGGAACCGATATTTGATATTCTGAAGGGGGAATTTTGTATAGAAATTGGATATTCTTTCAACAACATTTGAAAAAAACACATACTGTTTCAGTTAAAATAATGAGCTTAAATATTGTTTTGGGCAAAAGATTGAACAATGTTTTTATTGTGGCCTGTAATCTAATTTTGTCCTAAGCATAATATGTGATATATGAAATGTATGAAAAATTGAATGCATTTTGAAATTTTCTTGGACCGTTTATAATGGTTGGTTGGTTGTTTTACGCTGCTACCAGCAATATTCATACTATATAGCACCGGTCTGTAAATAATCGAGTCTGGACCAGACAATCCAGTGATCAACAACATTAGCATCGATCTATGCAATTGAGATACGATGACATGTGTAAACCAAGTCAGCGAGCCTGATAACCCGATCCCGTTAGTCGCCTCTTACGACAAGCATGGAAGGCTACAGATCAATTTTAACCCGGACCTTCACATTCGTTAATAATGGTGTGGTTACATACCACAAATCCAGACCTTGATCGCACCACAATGATCTGGTTATACTGTATCCGCATCAACTTGGTTGCGTTCCTGACAAAAGTTATTCCATTTGGATATGGACCCTCGAATTCCACGTCTTTATCACCGTAGGCGATGTTTAGTGCTCCCAACACTAATCTGGCTGACACGGGTTGCTTGCATCGTGGATGATCTCTGTAAGTATCATATTTGACATGGTTGGATACATGATCCAAAAGCAAAAGTAGATACACTCAAATATATTGACTTCATATTCGTCATGTTTGGACATTTAAGTGTACGGATGGTACTGTATAATAACTCCATTATATCTATCGTAAACTAAGTTGTAGGATAACGTTACCTAACATTCTTACAGTGAGTGAGTGAGTTTAGTTTTACGCCGCACTCAGCAATATTCCAGCTATATGGCGGCGGTCTGTAAATAATCGAGTCTGGACCAGACAATCCAGTGATCAACAGCATGAGCATCGATCTGCGTAATTGGGACACGATGACATGTGTCAACCAAGTCAGCGAGCCTGACCACCCGATCCCGTTAGTCGCCTTTTATGACAAGAATGGGTTGCCGAAGACCTATTCTAACCCGTATCTTCACGGGTCCATTCTTACACAATGTCTGTTTCAGTGTAATTAAAGCTTAACAAGAAGATGCATCAGGCCGCCCAGGCGACAACTGCAATATGTGTATTCATCTCTGGAATCTCTCACAGACCCTATCCCATATGCTTCCTCCTGGCTCTTCCTGTAATGCAAAAGCACTAAGATTGTACTCAACCTCACTTGGACACTTTCTCAATGTAAATAGAGTTATGGATTTCTATCAAAATTATATATTTCAGAGACCCAGCGTTAGTCTAATTCAAGTCTTAAGCAACTTGTGTCAGGCAATTCTGCCAACATCTATGACACATATGTGCAGCCTTGCTGCCTTTGGCGCGACACATCTGTTTGACATCTATATCACCAACCACTGCAACCCAAGTCCGTATCTGTGGATCTTTAGTGAGTGAGAGAGTTTAGTTTTATACCGCATTCAACAATATTCCAGCTATATGGCGGCGGTCTGTAAATAATCGAGTTTGGACCAGACAACACAGTGATCAACAGCATGAGCATCAATCTGCGCAATTAGAACCGATGACATGTGTCAACCAAGCCAGCGAGCCTGACAACCCGATCCCGTTAGTCACCTCTAACCCGATCCCGTTAGTCTACACAAACAGGAATATCAACAATACCGGAAAGTATGGTCACCATTACTCAATTTGATTGTTACACAGTTCTCAAATAATGATTGCTGTGATTGTATGAACCACCACTGGCGACCACCTCAGTACCAGCATGGCTTACTGAAGGTTCATTCTGGCCCAGACCTTCAGGGGTCTACACAAACAGGAATATCAACAATACCGGAAAGTATGGTCACCATTACTACTTCACCAATCTGATTGTTACACAGTTCTCAAATAATGATTGCTGTGATTGTATGAACCACCACTGGCGACCACAGAGTACCAGCATGGGTTACTGAAGGTTCATTCTAACCCGGACCTTCACGGGTTGTGGATCTTTAGTAGGAACTAGATCTATAGTAGATCTACCACTTAAGTACAGAATGTCAGTGCAAAGTAATACCCAATCTTGACTATCCTCAGAAACACATTCTGTTTGGTATAAAGAGATAATGATATGAATGGATAACTGAAAATTAGTGATGACACTAGGTGTTCCCGAAGAATGTTAACTGCAGTCCTGTGCCAAGGGTGTCATGTTTGGCTGTTCTATTGACTACTGTTGTTTAAGTGTAGTACGTGATAAGACATATGTGCTAATGCTATGTTATAATGTTTCCTTCATGAAATGTGAGTGAATGAGAAAGTGAGTTTCGTTTTACTCCGCTTTTAACACCTTAGTGTAACTCTTAGCAATCTGCATATTCTAAAAACCATAATTTGAGAGGTACATATGTAGAGTAGTTGCAATAGTGGGTGAGTGAGTGAGTGAGGATGGTTCACGCCGCTTTTAGCAATATTCCAGCAATAACACGGCGGGGAACACTAGAAATGGGCTTCACACATTGTACCCATGTGGGGAATCGAACCTGGGTCTTCAGCGTGACGAGCGAACGCTTTAACCACTAGGCTATCCCGCCGCTCACTTCATGAAGAGCAGGGGACAGTAACAACATAGGTTGACGGGTAAAACCCTGTTAACACTGAAGCCAGAATATATCGCCCCCAGGTTAACTGGCCCGGGACGCTGTGACATGTTACCAGATACCGTAAATTGCTGCGTATCGTATGGAATCCTGGAAGGGACATTGTCGCGATGTCGCGTGTCGCGTTTTGGTTTATTTTGCCTCAGTTTTACTTGTTTTGAGAGGGCGACAATGCGACAACGCGACAATGTCCCTTCTCGGATTCCATAGTATCGTGGGTTTTATAAACTCTTACTGCCCATACGGAGACTGCGGATCAACCAGGTCCGTTGTTACAGCCATAAAAGCGCCAGTCAGTCTTCCGTTTGGAACTACACCATAGTCGAAACTCTGGCTCCACCTGAAGTCGGCTGCTTGGCCGGCATACGCAGGTACCGTTATCGGTCCCATCTACAATAATAAACAGAACTCTCATTTAAAGACGTACGGATTACATGAAAACTGCACATATATTTCAAGTTCTATGTCGTACGTTGAGAAGGCAATTCTCAAGCAAATTGACATAGCTTGGCGTCTAATCTAGCACAGATTAAAAAAGAACTTGTCAGATCCAATGAGGTAAGTGATGTACTGAGAGTTATTGATGTACTGAATATAAAACGTCAGTGCAAAAGAAAATCCGCAAAATTAGTTTTGTCTAACAGGGAAAAATAGCTGTAAAAACGATATGAATAGACCACTGAAATAACTGGTGACACCGGGTGTTCCGGAAAGGTTGAGCATGTCCGGCCCTACCGACGTAACGTCTTGAGCAACGGTAAACAGAAAAAGGAAAAAGAAAACGTTTGTTTATAATTTGACAAATCACACAGGCCACAGGGTATAAACTAAAAACTCTTACGTTACCTTAATGCTTACACTCGAAAAATTAAATTTGTGATTGTTTAGATTGTATTTAAAATCTGTTATGCACTAAAGAGAATATCCATGTGTACAGCTCGCATGCCCTCTGTATGGGAATGCATTCGCGACACCTTTGCTCACCAAGAATGGGAGATATACTGACGAGATTCATCGCTGGGCAGTCATCAAGTGAGTGAGTGACGTCCGTTTTACGCCGCTTTTATCAATGTTCCCACAATATCACGGCAAGGGGAGGCCAGAAATGCGCTTCATACACTGTACCCAGTTTACGAAACGCACCCGGATCTTCGGCGTTAAGCCATTTAGCTTGAATATTTGCTGAGTGCGGGGTAAAACTAAACTCACTCATTCTTCGGCGTGACGAATTAAAACTTTACCCACCAGGCTACGCCACCGTTTCCTCAACAATCTAACGTCAGCGACACTTAGATGAAGGATGAGCAAAAAATGTGAAACAGTGTGAATAATTTTGCATTGGTGCGTTTGTACAATGTTCATAGCAAAATGTGAATGTACAATTAGAATGTTTCAGTGACCTGTACGATTCCAAAAGGCATGCTGCTGCTTGTTTCGTTGAGAGTCTTGGATCTGTAGAGACTTCTGATGTTGGACATCATGACTATGAAATCATAGCCATAGTTGTAATCTGACTTTAGATTGCCCGACCCTGAAATATGGAATATGAATAATATATTATATATGATAACATGGAAATATTGTTTTGACAATGCGATGCCGACATGTATGATGGACCAGATTACCTATAGGATTCCGTACAAACGTTTTCTTCAGAAACATTTCTTAGATCAAATTGTTTACCATTTGTTTTTTCTGGTAACATGCGTCTTAACGAAGGGGGAGAGACACGTCATTAGAACAGCACGTCTGTTGGCCCTGAACTAGAATTGTTAGTTAACTCATTAAGCCCGAGAGCCACCTCACTACTCAACACCTGGAACCCTTCGCTGATTGCTCACTCGCTGTGCCGAGACTAATTAGTGCTAATCACACCTGATTTCCCTGGCAGGTTTCGGGGATGACAGGAAACTGTCTAGTCGTACAAACAAGTCCTGATTGTGTCGTAAAGATAAATGTTGAAAGAAAGCAGGTGTGAATACATATCGTGTATTGCTCAGTTTTATGTAATTTTATTGAAAGTTTCTGTTGTAGATCTTTGGCGGCTTGTACATTTATATTTTGTCACAATATGCATGTATTCTTTGTATGTAAGAGATGAGACACACATAAACAAATTCCCTCTTTCATATCATTGTGTGAGGTTTAATTTACAAAACATCTATGACAATGACATAAAGAAGAATTTACTTACATACTTTATAATCTTCGACGAAAATTGCGTTTTGCCTATACATTTCTAGTGTATACGAATTATTTTAATGAAAGTACTAAATAACGCTAGTCGGTGACTAACATACAACACATTCATCGATTGGCACTTTGTTTCATCTAGATTTAATGCAGAAAACATACGTGACCATACCAACATACATATAAAAAATGTATACTACATATTCCTTGCATAGACATAAAACAAATAGTCACGTGATAGGGCGTCATCAAATTTCCCGAATAGAACGTTCTGTATCTCAACTGTTCAATATAGTGGCTGGTCATATGTTATCTGTGACCAATCGTATCATGAGATACCTGTCACAAAGAAAAGGACAGGTGATGGGGCGCGGGCGAAGTTTCTGAAGAGCACGTTTGGTCACTCAACAGCTGGGGTAGAGATTGATTATTGGCTATATCGTTGACCAGTCGATATGCTGGGTTTCGGCTTTATCAACTCTAGCTATCATGTAACAGTTTGTGTCTTGTAAACATACACACTGGTAACGATTATCAAATATACACATAAGACAAATAGGAGTAGATAGACACTTTGGCGAGTTTATTTGTCCTCATTCTAGTGTTTTCCGATAATTAAAACAGAGCGATTGAAATCCAACCATTGAGTAGAGATAGTATATATTTTCATATACATTTTACGCACACAACTAGTACATAAAACATAATGGTTTGCTGTACATGTAAATATAATCTTCACCTTGATAGGAATGAATATCCAAACTAAAGTACACGTATTGCGGAATTCACGAAGTGACACTATGTTGAATCATTATAGTGTATAAACTTGCAGTTGACACCCCACCCCCACCCCAACATTTATGAAGGTGGGTGTGCCTATATTTATACTGAATGCAAACGAGGTTCATAAGATTACAGATGTACATGCATGCATAAACATTACAGAGAGGGGCGTGACACCATAAAGCAAGTTGTCCAATGATATAACAGCACATCTGTTTATTTTACACTTGTCACGGGACAAACCTTTGAACAAGGGTGTAACTACATATGCATTCTACCGGAGGCTGTTATTTCAAGGTCGAAAGAGGTGTTCAATTATCTCATTACTGTAATCTGATTGAATGATTACACGCATGTGTATCGATACCGTAGCTGATATACTATTCAGCTTTTATTGACGATGGATCAACATGGAGACTGAGTTCATTGATACAAACGTGATAATTACACGATGCAAAGGCGCGATTTGATAATTACAGAGATCAAATTCAGTAAGCAAATGTTTTCTACACAGCTTGGATGCTCATATGAAACATGACAATTACATAGAAACAAACTGTGTTTGAATTCTTCGCAACAGATTTCTGATTCAAATCAACCAGTGAAACTTTCAACATCTTGAACATTATAACGTTTCTTTGAAGGCATTTTAGAAGTGCTTGAATGATACGTTTCGGTGTAGGTACTAACACCGTTATCAAGCAAGTGATACAACAACTGAAGCAAGGAGAATATATACAGAGCTGCATAGTGAGTATATACAATTAACAAGGTTGATGTACATTGGGTAGTCTGCTCCAGAAACACCGTCCACTACAACACCACCCAACACATTGCCCGTCTCCTCGCCCCCCCTTGGTAAATCAGCCACATCCTTTGTCTCCGACTCCGCCGAATTCTGCACCAAGATCAGTTCAATCACCCAGCCTGGCAAACTAATTAGCTATGACGTCGTAGACCTTTTTACCAATGTACCCAGAGAGGAAGCCCTTACCATCATTCGGAAAAGACTCCAAGACCTCCACCCTGACCTAGACACCCACCTCAGCATCGACAGTATAATCCGCCTCATCAACTCCTGCATCAGCTCAACCTACTGTACCTGGTCAGATAAGATTTACCCAGCAAAGCCATGGGCTACCCATGGGTTCTCCTCTCCCCTATCATCACTGAGATATACATGACGGAACTAGAGAAGACAAGGCCTCTGCTGACATCACCCATTGCACCAATTTGCTGGTATAGAAAAGTAGATGACACCTTTGTAGTTCTCAACACCAACGACAACCCTGAACACCTCCTCAACCACCTGAATTCCCAACATCCCCGTATGCAGTTCACAATGGAAGAAGAATCTGACAACAAGCTCCCTTTCCTCGACGTCCTAGTAAAGAAAGAAGACAACAAGCTCTCCACTACTGTCTACAGGTAACCCACCCATACCGACCAATACCTTCACTTTACCTCCAACCACCCGCTACAGGTTAAGAAAGGCATCATATCCACTCTCACCCGGAGAGCTAAGAACATCTGCTCGACAACGGAAGCCCTAGAAACCGAACTTAACCACATCCGCCATGTCTTCGTCCATTATAACCAGTACTTATCATCACAACCACCCTCAAAGTGGACTTTATTACACAAAACATAGGGGTAGAGTGAGCTGTATTTCTAATGTATTGAGTAACATATCAAGATGAATCCGTCTTTGTAATTTAAGGTCCTGTGAAGATCCGGGTTGGAATTGATCTTCAGCAATCTTACTTTCGTAAACACTTGCGGAACTATCTTGAATACGACTGTATCTTCTCAGGAGTGAATATCACTTTCACTACCGACGTCAAGTATTTCGAGAACATTCCGAGGGTGTTATGCAACGCATGATATCCGTACTTGGAAGACAATGTGATAACAACATACTTAATTATGCTCTTCACTAGGCTAGATAAAAGTGAGTGAGTATGGTTTTACGCCGCGTTAAGCAATATCCCAATATTACGGCTGGGGACACCAGAAATGTACCTATAATACCCATTTGGGGAATTAAACCCGGGTCGTCAGCGTGGCGAGCGAACACTTTAACCATTAGGCTACCCCACCGCCCCGGGCTAGGTGGAAGAAAGAATCGCGATGTGTATGCACGTGTATACGTGTTTTCTTGTATTAAGGAGGACTTTTAGGCACTTACCCGTGAAGGTCCGGGTTAGAATGAACCTTCAGTAACCCATGCTTGTCATAAGAGGCGACTAACGGGATCGGGTGGTCAGATTCGCTGACTTGGTTGACACATGTCATCGGTTCCCAATTGCGCAGATCGATGCTCATGCTGTAGATCACTGGATTGTCTGGTCCAGACTCGATTATTTCCAGACCGCCGCCACATAGCTAGAATATTGCTGAGTGCGGCGTAAAACTAAACTCATTCACTCACTTTTAGTCACTGTAATATAGCCAATCCCTTAAGATACAATGCTTCAATTTGACATGAATACTAAACACACACACATTATCACTCACTCCAGCTCGCCCGTCATGTTTAGCTTATTATCAAAAAACTATGTACACACAAACGGTGTTGAAAAAGTGAGTGAGTGAGTATGGTTTTACGCCGGTTTTTACATCACGGCGGGGGGACACCAGAATTCAGCTACTAATACGATTTCGAATTTAGTTTGAATTCGATCAAATGACTATAGTAGATGGTTTGCTTCAAATATCAACGCTGCATCTCTAAGAGCACTTGAACATACATACACGCACGCAGGCACGCGCCTACATATACTCTGTAAGCTGAAACAATACCAACCAATAGTTATGTTACTGCCTTTTGTTGCGTATTGCGGATCTGATTAAATCAACTTTCCTTAATTACATACAACTTTCAGTCCTACCTACACAAACTTGAGGCCCACAAGGTGAATGCAAAGAGTCCCTTTACTATGAATGAATGTGTTACAGACATACCTGATCATGCACTTAGTTTTATGAGACTAATCACCCGTTGAAATGCGTTTTGCGTTCATTCATTAGCTGTTTTCAGAAATATCTACCAAAGTAAAACCGACATAAAGTCAATAACAATATGAACAGAACAAAAAACACATTTAGGGCACGTCAATAATTTACATGAAGAAGAAAATATTTTTTACTAAAATATTGACAGTTGTCAAGTTTATCTGGACCTATTTATCTTGAGTTTATTAATAATGTATTTTCACAACAGTTTAACGAGAAATTCAAGCCGTCTCAAGTGGCATATAGGCTATATCGAGTTGGGACAAGTTCGATTTGTCTCTTATATCTGGTCGTGTTTGATACCTTTATCGTCAGAAGAAAATCGATTTTTACATATTCGAAACCCGTTTCATAAATATACAAAATTGCTTCTTGGCATTTCAAAGATCGTCTAGGATGTTAGAGAATTATTCTCGTCAGTTCATTATCAGATCACTCTAAGAACTTCAACATTTTGTTTGTTTGATTAAGCGCTTGTCAGTTTATTTATTCAGTATGGAAAAAATATTCTCACATAGCGCAGCTAGTTTGCAGCCTTTCCTCCCATCCTTATTATTATTGCTGCTTTAGGGGAAGTGGCGTAGCCTAGTGGGTGACTCGTACCGCCGATCCGTGAAGACCCGGGTTCGATTCCCCAAGTGGGTACATTGTGTGAAGCCCATTTCTTGTGTCCCCCGCCGTGATACTGCTGGAATTTGGGTAAAAACATACCCACTCACTCACTCACTATTGCAGCTTTGGCATGATATGAGAGAACTACTGTACATATGTTCCTCTCAAACTTCCTGGTTTTTGGAATATGCAAATTGTGAAGCGTTACATTGAGGGAGAATATCACAGTAGTGTGAATTATAAAAAGAATTGGCTTTTTACACAGTAATATATGTATAAGTATTTTTTTTACGATATCTACGATGTATTTTGTAAAGACACAACATCTAAAATCATCAATTTTAATATCATAGACATAGATATTGTCGTTTTATTCTGTTGAATATGACCATAGAAATGAATGAGTGCTTGTGGTTTTACGCCGCTTTTAGCGATATTTTAGCAATTTAACGGCGGGGATCACCAGAAATGGGCTTCTCACGTTGTATCCATGTGGGGAATCGAACCCTGGCCTTCGGCGTGACGAGAGAACGCTAAATCCAATAGGTTGACCCTCTGCCGCGTGCCAGACAAAGAACCGGTGGTTGATATTGTGAGTACTATCCCAAACTGTCCTCCGCACTATTAGTTTTGACATTCGGAGAAAAAAACAACATCTGTGTACGCAGAAAGACATTTAACTGTGACAAAGCGAGACACCACTTGACTGAAATAACGTTTCTTCGTAAAGACGCCGTTTTACCTTTTTGCTGTTGAACTTGACAATAGAAATGCGTGAGTGAGTATGGTTTTACCCCGCTTTTAGCAATATTCCACCAATATAACGGCTAGGGCCACCAGAAGTGGGCTTGACATATTTTACCAATGTGAGGAATCGAACCCGGGCCTTCAGCAGCCTGACTAGCGAACGCTTTAACCACTAGGCTACCCCACTGCCCACAATAAAAATGAATTAGCTGTGATGAAAATAATACCTTGATACCATATGATACCATACGTAACCATGTGCGACAGCGGGTAGATCATGCCATTCCAAGATTCCTGGTCTATAGGTGGAATACTACTGAAAATGTCAGGACAAAATATCTTTTAATAAATAACAATTACAAATATGTTAAATTAAAAATACAGAAGATAACAAAGTATCTTAGTTGTTTGTAAGGGTTTAAATTATGCCTTTGTACGTCATACTTAAACATTATTGTAAACTGTCTCATCTTGAAGCATTCAGTTTACCTCTCAGGTGAAAAGTGTGTGGCCTCAGGAAATGACACTTGGATCAGTCCAATGGGGTGTCTTATCTGGGAGTAGAGGTATTCGCCAAAGAGCCAACATATTGCCGAAAAGTTGTACAACGACTCTACAATTCAAGAATATGAGAAAGAAAACAGAGACTGAATTCATTTTTGGTTATGCATTGACATATCACATGTTTCCGAAAAACTGACACATTCTTCCGCTTATCAATATGTCAAATGTCGTCCTTGAATAAATATCAACCTGTGAAGATCAGGGTTAGAACTGGTCTTCAGCAACCCAGGTTTGTAGAAGGCGACGAACGGGATCGGGTGGTGCGGCACGATGTGAAGATCGATGCTCATGCTGTTGATCACTTTATTGTCTGGTCCAGACATACCGCCGCCACATAGCTGGAATATTGCTGAGTGTGGCGTTAAACAACAAACCAACTTGAATAAATATCAACAATGCAGAGAATTTTTGTATTTTTTAGGACAATTGCCAATGATTGTAGAGATAAGAGGGTTTGCAGAACCAACTTGAATAAACATCAACAATACAGAGAAGTTTTGTCCATTTTAGGACAATTGTCAATAATTTTAGAGACAAGAGGGTTTGCAGATTATTTTCCTTTGTGTCTCCCACTTTAGTTTATTGGCTCATACGGCATATCTATTGTGCCATATGTATTGAACTGCATGACATTACTTTTGTTGTAGCCAACCTAAAACCTATCTTGAGCTTATCAAATATAAACATGCTCAAACACGTGTGATAGACCCTTCTGTTACTGAATGACCTGTCACAAAAAATCCTTTGGTTCCGACCCGTGAAGATCCGGGTTAGAATTGATCTTCAGCAACCCACGCTTGCCTTAAGAGGCGATTAACGGGATTGGGTGGTCAGACTCGCTGACCTGGTTGGCACATGTCATCGTATCCCAGTTGTGTAGATCGGTGCTAATGCTGTTGGTCACTGGATTGTCTGATCCAGACTCCGTTATTTACAGACCGCCGCCGGGGCGACGAACGGGATCGGGTGGTGCGGCACGCGGCACGCTGTGAAGATCGATGCTCATGCTGTTGATCACTTTATTGTCTGGTCCAGACAGACAGCCGCCATATAGCTGGTACATTGCTGAGTGCGGCGTCAAACAACAAACCAACCATCCAACCTTACTGAAGACCAACCTTTGGTTCCAATAATCTATACCAATGACCGATGACACAATCAATCTGACCACCCCATCCTTCAAGAATCTTACTCCTAGCGTAGGTTGCCTGGCACCAATTCAAACTCAGGATGTTCACGTGGTCACCATGAAAGAACTGGTACCATTTGAAGGGGCTGCCCAATTGATGTCGAAGCCTTTAAGATCATCCAGAGCAGTGGCAGACTGATACTCTTTAGGTTTAAGTATCCGGATGTCCTTATATTCAGCTGACCGATGGATCTCATTTGTACTGTTGGTAACCTGGTGATAAAAGGGGAACGAAAAGTGAATATAACATATGATCATAGTCTTCTATGACGTGATTGTATACATATAATGCAAAGTGTTTATCAATAACACTCTGGACCAGAACCGTATCTTGAATTATTATAAAGCACCTGTTGCTTGTTCCAGATGCCCGAAGTAAAATGTTTCGTCAATTACATTGCTTTTTAAAGGTTTAGTTTGTGCTTTCAGTTCATACAAAATATTGTTATTTTTCTTCAAACACCTTAAATATTCTCTTTGGTGCGTGAAATACTTTGAAAAATGCAAAATATTGCCATCTGTTAACAAGAATATATTTAGGAAGGCTAGTTGTTAAGCTCATCTGTACCGACCTTGGACATTGGGAAGGCCATGTCAGTCTGTCCGGAACACATCCACACGTCTCCGAATAAAACATCATCTATTGATACATTTCCTTCTGGGGAGAATGCAGTTATGTTGAAAGGTCCTGCATCATAAACTGCCGGTAGCTTAACTTGCCAAACACCACCAGTTCCATTCGTATATTTTATGATTCTTGTGTGAACAGATCCTTTTCCAGAGACATCAACAGTAACCGGATCTCCAATCTGTCTTCCATATCCCCATAGTAAGGCTCTCTGGGGCGCCCTCTGGAGGACCATGTGGTCCTGGTAATAGGAAGCATATTCCAGGCCAGCTGTCTCTGTAACGTAACATTTACACAATCAGCATGAACAATTACACGCATTTGCCTTTATATGTGGTCATGAAGCGACATCGCTATATCGCCTTCCGTTGTGACCTCGATAAAGCGATAAAGCGATATCACCAGAGGAGTAAGCACGGCCGCCAGAACAGAGAGCGATATCACGAGAGGAGTAAGCGCTAACACCAGAAGAGAAAGCGATATCACAAGACGAGAAGGCGATAGTAGGAGATGAGAAGGCGTAATTGAAGGCGAGATGTCCCTTCTCGGCCATCACAGGTCTCAGGCCCCCTCTCGGTACTATGTTTGCTGTTAAACGTCGCATTCAGCAATATTCCAGTTATATGGCGGCGGTATGTATTTTTTCGGGTCTGGACCAGACAATCCAGTGATTGCCAACCTGAGCATCGATCTACACAACTGGGAACCGATGATATGTGTCAACCAAGTCAGCGACCCTGACCACCCGATCCCGTTAGTCACCTCTTACTACAAGCATGGAGGAGCAATTCTAATGTGAAATTCGGAAGTACAATTACAGGCTTACGCGTTATAAAATTAGCTGCGAGGAAGAAAATTAACTTTACCTTCTAGAAGTATTAGCAATAACAACGTCGTCCATTTCGCGTCGCTGTGCAACCTGGTTTTATCTTCCATGTTAGTTTGTGGGAAACCGCCACATGTTTCGTCATAGGCGGCCTTGTTAACTATCTACACAACAGGTGGATGTGTTTGCTGGTATATTTATATTTTCTTAACTAAACACTGGTATATGTCTATATATTTAGGCTCTATTTATTGTCGGTAAATACTTTACCTTGAGTTAGATGAATCACATGTGCATTTAAGAATCTTTCTTTATAAATCATTTCACAATTTCATCATTACATAGGTTTAACGCCACAACTATATGGCGGCGGTCTGTAAATATTCGGACCAGACAATCCAGTGATCCATATCATTAGCCTCGATCAACGCATTTGGGACGCGCTGACATTTCTTACTGCCCAGAGACACCACAGAGATATACAAATAGATATTCCAATTAAGACCACATTCGTATATTCTGTGTCTACATTTCTCAATGTAACTTGGATAGGGTGGAGTGAGTGAGTGAGTTTAGTTTTACGCAGCTTTTAACAATATTCCAGCAATATCACGGCAGGGGACAGCAGAAATTGGCTTCACACATTGTACCCATGTGGGGAATCGAACCCGGGCCTTCGACGTGACGAGCGAACGCTTTAACCACTAGGCTACCCTACCGCCCGCGTTGAAACAGAATTCCATATTATCGACAAAAGTCGAACCCGGGTCTTCGGCGTGACGGGCGAACGCTTTAATCACTAGGCTATCCCACAGCCCCTTAAATATTGTGGATAATATAGCTTTAAGTTCACACGGGAAAGTCAAGTAGAATGACAGTGATATCAGTAATACCCATCACACATGTCTTTTAGATGCATTGCCTTTGGGAAGTATCGTATAACTGACAGAAAGTCCATATGATACACGATAATTATCTCGTAAGATAAGAATACCTTACTATAGTTTAACCTTTAAGGAACTGAAAATTTCGATCAATTGTAAACCCAAGACATGTAATTAAAACTGTAGTAGCCATCCCAGGCAATTCATTTTTAAATGTACAAAATTCCGAGTTACCCACGCTTCAGTAACTTGCCGAAGCTCATAGCACAAACTGTAGCTATGTTGGTAATATCTGTATTCCAGCTTTTCTCTGTAAATCTATTTGTGGAAAATTCCACTCATACAGAACTTAGGGATGTTGATCTACTTCACTGTGCAGTTCAGTGCTCACTAAGAGAAAACTGCGTGTCCATGTTTTATCGCAAACTGACGAAACAGTGTTGGCTTTTGGACACGATTATTGAAGACAAAGCCTCTATGAAGACCTCGTTTGGTTATAAGCAGTTCGTGAAGCAAAGGGCGGATAACGATGAGAACGGTAGGTTGATATACATTAATTCAGTATCCAACGTTCATATGGCATTGAGATTTCGTACCCTGACACCCGTAAAAATCCGGGTTAGAATAATTGGTCTTCAGTAACCCATGCTTGTTGTAAAAGACGACTAACGGGATCGGGTGGTCAGGCTCGCTGACTTGGTTGACACATGTCATCGGTTCCCAATTATGCAGATTGATGCTCAAGTGTTGGTCACTGGATGGTCTGGTCAAGCTGGAATATTGCTGAGTAATGAACAAGAAACCAGCCAACCAAATCGTGCCCTGACCTCATCGACAGATATGGTTTTTCGACATAGCATATGATTTCAGAGCGTCTATGTTTATGGTAGATATGTTTTAGTTTATCACACAATGATATCTCCCAAGATTAATGCCAACTGTCAAAAGCGGTATCTGTTAGGGGTCATATGGGATAGAGGTGCAAATGTGAAGGTCAAGTAGGGGCCACAAAAATGGCACCACACGTGTCAATCGAACCATCGTGAATATGAGAAACTACTGGGATAATTGTCACCACTATCAAACCAATCCTGATACTGGAAATAAGTGTTTTATTGGTACATAGCTGAGGCATTTTATACGCTTCAGCAACTTTGGAGATATGTTTTGTAAAACAATTCATCAATTAACGAGGAAATACTCCAAATAGGATCAGTTTCTTTCCTCGGTGTCTGAAGAACTGTGTAACCTGTGGCCTTTTCTCCAATTTAACACGGTCGGATTTAGATGAACTTGGTACTTAATTAAAACATCAAATAAATAATTGTACATAATTGATGACACACAGCACTTTGACATTCTATAATATGTTACAGAAAATGACTTCCTTTAAAGACAGGCGTCATAAAGAAATAATATTCTTCAGATTCTAAAATAATTTTGAAAGATATAATTTCTGTGTCTTCTCTCTCCTAGAAACCGAGTCGTCGTGCGTTACAGGTCTAGTTCGCTGTAAGTATTTGATATTGTCACAAACTATCTTTACGAAATAAGGAGATATGATAATGTCATCTTATCACAGTGTCGGCCTCCTCGTATTTATAACAAGAAATTCTGATATTTAGCAACAGTCAACAAAACGCGACAACTTTAAGGTTTAAATGTATGTTGCATTTTACCACAGCTGAGGCATTCCAATGTACATTTGGACGCCTTGCTTAACTGTCGCCGTTTGCCATGATGCTTATTTGCAGTAATTAGGGTACACCAATGATCTCAAATGACTACTAGTTATTACTAGTAGTTATTTGTCAACTCTAAAATATATGAACGAGTAAAATTGGTTTTCTCAAAATGAAATAATACGTGTGTGTGTGTGTGTCCCTATTGTGGGTGTCAATTTCATAAAACAGAAAAAATGACGCGAAAAGACGCCAATGTTCCTGGATCCCCTAAAGCCTGGACTCACGGAAAATTAAGACGGCTTAATTACACTACTGAGTTGATGCCTCTCCTGCAAATGCGAATGGGACTACACAAAGTAAGAACAAGGCCTTGAAATCAATAAACTGAACTGAAGTTGGTGGGACAAGGCTATGCTTTGTCGGTGTAGGAATTCTAATAACCCTGCAAGCAGAGATCGCAAACAAAAACAGATTGTACGCAGTCGGATAACGAAAAAAACTTCCTGAATATGAACTGACGCTTCAAGCACCAGGAACACTCTCAGAAAGAAATGTACATTTTTTGTACCGAAGTGTCCAACAGAATTTCGAAACCGCCACGTTTCATTTTCAATTCGAACAGTTTAAAGCCAAGTTGTTCACATTATTGGAACGTAATGCAGAACGTGGGTAGGCTTACACACGGTGTAAATTTCAATACTCGTGACTGTCATGACTGATAGCAATAGACATCACAGAGGATCGCGCCAGCCACAACGTATCGTCCTGTCGAGCATGTCGTGGAGTGAGGAAATCATGATGGACTGGAAACAAATGCTTCAAGAAATTGGGTGAATGAGTGAGTGAGTGAGTTTAGTTTTACGTCTCTTTTAGCAATATTCCAGCAGTATCACGGCGGGGGACACCAGAAATGGGTGTCACAAATTATACTCATGCGGGGAATCGAACCCGGGTCTTCGGCGTGACGAGCGAACGCTTGAACCACTAGGCTACCCTAAAGTGTGAAGGAAGACAATATAGACATGTCTAGAAAGAACACAGACATGACCGGGGGAAAACGTCGTCAACAGACATCACTGAAATTTGCCACAAATGAATTCACAATCCAAACGCAGAAATAAATTATTCAGAACTGGATGAAAGAAAATGATCAATCTTGAATCTTGAAATGGAACATTACCAATGGATATGGACGAAAACCGAGAAGCTGTTGACACACATTACGAGCTGCGAGTGTTTAACAGTTCATGCCGGGCGGACAATGGATTTACGCGTGCACCAGTGAAAGCGTCGGATGCACACAGTGGACACTAACGTCGGATGTACGCGTGCACCAGTAACGTCGGTCTACACAGCGGACACTGGGATGTACGCGTGCACCAGTAACGTCGGTCTACACAGCGGACACTAGGATGTACGCGTGCACCAGTAACGTCGATCTACACAGCGGACACTGGGATGTACGCGTAACGCACCAGCGGACACTAACGCGTGCGATTCGATCTACACAGCGGACACTAGGGATGTACGCGTGCACCAGTAACGTCGATCTACACAGCGGACACTAGGATGTACGCGTGCACCAGTAACGTCGATCTACACAGCGGACACTGGGATGTACGCGTGCACCAGTAACGTCGATCTACACAGCGGACACTAGGATGTACGCGTGCACCAGTAACGTCGATCTCGGTCTACAGCGGACCACTAGTCGATCTACACAGCGGACACTCGGATGTACGCGTGCACCAGTAACGTCGGTCTACACAGCGGACACTGGGATACGCGTGCACGCGATCTACACAGTAACTGGGATACGATGACAAGTAACGTGTCAACCAAGTACAGCGCAGCCTGACCATGTACGCGTGCACCAGTAACGATCCGTTAGTCACCTTTTGCGGTTTCCTGAAGACCAATTCCAACCGGGATCTACGCGTGCACCAGTATAGCCACTGTACAGGGATTTTCGTATGACACATCACTGGGATACGATGACATGTGTCAACCAACTGCAAGAACGTTTGGAAGCACCCTGTCACCATTATCAGATTGATGCCACGTTTGCAACAGACATGACAAGTGTAGAAGCGGAGATGACGCTCATTCAAAACCGACACATACGGACCTTTCATCTCTTGGTTTAAAGTGACAGCAACGGCAGAGCCACGGGTACAGAGAGTCTGTCGACAGTGTAGGAGATTATGTGAACGAGGTATCAGAGGACATGGACCATACGTCGGAGAGACGTTAACTCACCAACACCAACGAAACATGTTGACATGGGCCGGTTGTATTTGTCTGTGAGACATCATGTTCTGCGATGACAGTGCATATTGCTTGTACAGAAATGATGGACGGTAGTATGCAGACGAATAGGATCATTTTAGGGAAATATGTTCTAATTTACGATATGAAAATCTCATTGTTTCTGCTGACTTCCAGTTTCAGATCTTTTATTACTGCACTAAATCCTTAAATCTAAATGTCACCTTGTATCTTGGTATAAAGTTCTGACGATGTTTCGGTCTGAAATGTGTCACTGCTGTTTCTGTCGTCCTGATACGGCATATATTGTTGTCGAGAAGATATTGTCGGTGGCTGAAC